CGTCTTACGCTTCATTTTGACGTAATCTTGGATAGTGAAGCATCCAACTGCACGCGTTGTTGACCAATTAGATAACAAATGAGTGGCTAAGGAGGTAATGGTGACAATTTTATGCTATATGTGTTTCTGCAAGTATTTCTTGTTTTTTGTGCCGGTCACCTTTTCGTAAAAAAAAACGTTTGAGAAAAACGAAATACAATTATCTGCTCATTCTTAACTTAGGTTAAAACTTCACCCATGCACAATCCTGACCCATCCATTGTAAGATATACTTACTCAAAAACACCGGGTTCTGAACGAGTGGTTGCCGTGGCGCAGAATTTAGTTACCGAAACACTTCTTGCGGATTTGAACACTTCTTGCGGATGATTTGAACACTTCTAAGGTACGTCCTGCCTTAAAAACCTGCTTAAAAAAGTTAAATAATGGGAAAAAACAAACACAGCGAAGTTAGCATCCGGAGAGACCGAGAAATTATGGTTTTTTCTTTTGCGTGATTGTAGAGGTGTTTGTTTAAATATCCGTTATCTTACGCTCACCATTTTTGAAACCAGTGTGGCCCAAGAACTCGATACTGTACTTTCCGAATGAGCACTTGCTTCTGTAAGCATAGGTTTTAGCCACGAAGCACTTTAATCACATCAAACAAGCGTATTATGTGTTCTTTGTTTTTAATTAAATGCGGGCAAAGAAGAAGTTAAAATCGCTAAAAACACGCGCAGTAGGCGTGACCACACATCTGACATCCTGAATTATCCCATCGGTGCGACGCGCCAATATTGCATTCATTGTGCAATATAAATTAATGGTGATGACAATTCAAATCTGTAATGTATGTGCCGAATCAATTTCTGTGAGCGCTAAGTACCCTGGCATCCTATCAAAGAGTGCATCCATGAGAGAAAGTGAGATTTCGGGAACATTGGTCTAGCTATCATGTAGCGAAGATCGATACTAATCTGATTGGTTGCGATATATTTCCCAATAGAATCCAGATGCCGCGGGTTGTGAATTAACCTACTATATGTTCCTTTTTTGGAATGCCGAAGATGTTTGACACCACGGTAGGTTTTACACTTCGACCTAGCCTATCCTTAAGTTTCAGCAACGAGGATATCAATTGCTTCTTGTTCACTTTCTAAAAGACGAATTCGTTGATTGCATATTATTTTTGTGTCTGACTGCAACCGCACGTGCCGATGGTAGCCATGGCAGCTTTACTAAAAAATTAGTTGGCGTATTCTTTAATAGAACTGCAAATAAAATGTGGGATCTTGCGGTCCATTTGATAAGAAACGACCTGAACCAGGAACATATCTGCTCTTGCATTCATGCCCACACAATATATGCGCGATTGACTACATGGATCGGGGGATTTGTTGCGTAGAATTTTCTGTGCTATCTCTGGGCCTTGATGATAAGTATTTCTGAGCTGAGTCAGAGGCAGGTACTTGCCTGACATCGAGTCAAATTGCGGGCCATATTCTCGGAAGACCATAAATCGCATATTGATTGTAACCGTGAAGTTCATGTCCAAAACTATACTTATATGGTGTGAACCATCGCCTCGACCGTAGCTAGCTCAGCCGACGATGTTGGCGACCCATAACACATCTTAAAGTGACCTCGTTCTGTACTAAAAACTCAAGAAGCCGGGCAATTTACAATTAAATTAGGCGGTGCCTCACAATCTAGCAGGTTCTTGGCTGGTATGACATCGATGATACCGGTCTCATGTACCATGGAAGTCATATTATTGACCAAGTTGAATTTCACCGCGTTGACCGCATGTTGATCTACACAAGATCGATCAGTCAGAAGCTTCACTTCAATCTCGAACAAGTTCAATCATATCACACGCTCAAGACCTCGATACCGTTTGAAAGTGTAGCTTCATCAGACGTTTTGCAAGTCGATGTCCTGACTTATTGCAATACTATCACAACTTGCTTTAAAGGACTCTTCCCGTGACACTACTTGCATTTAAATTTTTATTAGCCCAAAAGGATGTCCTTGAAGCTTTGCTGAGTACTTTTTCAGGGCGAAGATACTGCTGCGTGCGCTTTGGAATCTTAACGCCGTAATTTGAACGAATAAAAGTCGAATGCTGTATTTTTGCCAAGATAAGAGCACGGATATGGAGGTAATCGAAACATTTTTTGAGCCGCTTGTTTATTATATTTATTGCTGTCTCAAAATTCCTCCTTTCCTTAGCACTTTAAAATTTCAACTAATTATTGAGCGGTAAAGTAGCCTTACTTCTTGAAGAGTGACTGCTGGAGTGAATTATCAAAGTTGTTTGACGATAGCCCAATTACTCACTGTGCCGGACTGCCGACTATCGGAGGGGAACCCCAATGCCGCTTGTGGACCTTGACTCACATAGTGTAGCCGTCGGCTTGGCGGGATTCATTATTCGGAGAACTTGGTGATGATGTGGACGTCGGCCTTGATGGAGGTAGTCGATCACAGTAGATCGAGCAGAAGACCGATACTCCGCGTCCGAAACGCTGGTCTACCGCGGCACACTTGAAAACGTTTTCGTTCGAATATCTGTCGGTACCGCACTCTGCTCACGTCGTGCATTCATTGGGACACTTACGACAACCTTTGCATCTGCGTTGGAATCCGACGACGCGATCGAGTGGTGTAAATCGTGCAACTCGAAGTACGACTCGTTGACGAAGAATGACACTTGGGACATCGTACCATTGCCTCATGATCGCAAAAGATTGGCTGTAGGTGAGATTTCTAGGTCAACGAAAACCAGCATGGAAAAGTTGAATGACACAAAGCACGAATTGTGGCAAAGAGACTTGCCCAGCAGTACGGCATCGACTACGATGAAACGTTTGCGCCAGTCGCGAAATTTATCTCAATTCGTTTTGTACTCGCACTCGCGGCCAAGTACGACTTGCATGTGCATCAGATGGACGTCAAGACTGCGTTTCTCAACGGGCAGTTTATCTCAATTCGTTTTGTACTCGCACTCGCGGCCAAGTACTACCGACTTGCATGTGCACTAGATGGACGTCAGGACTGCGTTTCACAACGGCGACTTGGACGAAAATATCTAAATGCAGCAACCCGATGGATTTGTCGATGCAAGATTCCGGCCGACTTTGTCTGCAAGACGAAATCTTTTCTAAACGGTTTGAAGCCGGCACCGCACCTGTGGAACTTGGTGTTCGAAGATAACCAAGGATCGATTGCACTGGCGACGAACCCTGAGCTTCACAAGCGCACCAAGGAAGTTGGTGCTCGATGATAACCAAGGATCGATTGCACTGGCGAAGAACCCTGAGCTTTACAAGCGCATCAATCATATCGACATACGCAAACTTTTCGTGCACGAAAAGGTTGCAGACGGACACATAGCACTGTAGTACCTTCCTACACAAGATATGCTGGCGGACATCATGACTAAGGCTATCCCCGCGGACCAATTCACCAAACCTCGCAACAAACTGGGTATCCAAGGTGCTGCTGAGGGGAGTGGGGATGTTGTAATGGAAACAACTCGGCCAGCAAGTGACAAACTAAAGGTACAGTCTGGCGATCAGTAATGCGCCCATCTTATGAGTAACATGAGCAACATGGTAACTCGTGGTGTAACGGGGCACCCTGAAGCTTGTACTGGTGACAGTACAAGCTACTTATTCTGATGACAGAATAAGGCGGTGCCTCGTAACTTCAAGTACACTGGTACGTGCAGAGGAAGACGGTAAGAAGAAGCGAGTACTTGGTTAGAGTAAAAAGTAGAACTGTATTTATAATAGTTAATGTCTGCAATAAATCACTATTTATCTTCATCTAACTATGTCTAAATACAAATGTGTAAATCAGTTATCTGCTCACCACTCATTGCGTGCGTCTGTCGTGGCGCGTCTTCGTTGGTTGATATAATGGCCTATATCAACCAATTAGGAACTACTCGTAAGTGCTACAGAATATTTGTCCTTACGACAATATTCTGAGAATATAACTCTTATAGTTATATTCTATTAACAATTTCTTATAAATTGTTACGTAACGATTCACCCCGTTACACGTGGTTAATCATACGCGACTGTCGAATGAGTGATGGTATAGAGCTGATTACTCATGTGCGACTATCCAATGAGTAATGCGCGTAGTGTCGATTACTATTGTATAGTCGAAGAATCTATTAGGCTTAGAGTAGCAAGAAGAAGTTGCTAGCTAAGGACCTGAATACATGCACTTTGCAATTTACCTTACACCAACAACCAGCAAAGACTACAAATTTAATTAAAGAGGGAGTGAATCTAACAACTCCATTAATTGATCGTACATTAAAGTCACGTGGTGTGGCGTACAATAATGTGGTGGATTTAGTAAAAAGATGTGGTCGATTTAACACCTCCCAAATGTTTTACGTGACACCCATTTGTCCTCGACCGCACTTTGTGGTTAGCGGCGTTACCGGGCAGATCCCATTTTCTCATATTCGTATCTTTGGAACATAAACATACTGAATTGAGTCGCTTTAACATACAATTCATTAGAACTTTAGCTTTTCTGACACGATGTTCAACGCATTCCTTAGCTTCGAACCACCCAAAATGGAACGTGTACGTATAGAAATTAATTCAGCTCTCTGGACTAAATCACTCATGACATCGGGCGAGTTCCTGAGCCTGCTTGCTATATTACATCTTAGATTGAAGAACGAGAGTTAGGCCTCAAGTTAAATTAAAGTGTAATAATAATTCTCTCCTCAATCTTACTTTTGCGTAAGGATCGCTGTACGCCTCTCATGTGCGCAGAAAACTCGACGAAAAATATGTGTTGCACACAATCTGATAAAACCAGATCGTGAAGTAGCACAAAGTTGTCGAATGCGGTGCGAACCATAGTAAGTTAATATTCCACTTTTTGTTCGTTTGCTCGCGTTCGTGTAAAATTCACGAGCTCACCACTAATTATTTTTACATTCGGCGGTATTCTCGGCCAGTCAAACAGGTCTCAACATCGTCGGCATGCGGTTCACCGAGTTCCAGCCGCCGCTTTGCGCCGAGATCCTGGCGGAGACCGATGCTCTTGGCTTTGAATACATGACCCCCGTACAGGCAGCTACACTGCCGCTCCTGCTATCGAACAAGGACGTGTGTGTTGATGCGTGCACGGGCAGCGGGAAGACGCTGGCCTTCGTCCTGCCCATTGTGCAGCTGCTCAAGGCGAAGCTGGCAGACGGAAGCATCACGACGCCACGTCGTGCTGACCTCACGAAGCTCGTGGCTATGATAATCTCTCCCACGCGTGAGCTGGCGCGTCAGATTTTCGAGTGTGCCGAGAAGTTCTTTGCTAGTGCGTTGCCGAAGGTGCAGCTGCTGCTGTTTGTAGGCGGTACGAGCGTGGATGAAGACTTGCTGCTGATCCGGGGAGCCGTGGGAAAATGCTCTGTAGTGGTTGGCACACCAGGCAGAACGGAGGACTTGCTGAATCGCTGTGTGGGCTCTAGTGTCGAGACGCGCGAGTTTGAAGTGCTCATTTTGGATGAAGCAGATACCATCTTGGACATGGGCTTTGAAGTGAGTTTAAATAAGATTCTAGCACACTTGCCTAAGCAACGACGTACCGGGTTGTTTTCGGCCACGCAGACCCAGGAGGTGAAGGCGCTCGCGCGTGCAGGGTTACGGAATCCAGCGACGATCTCGGTGCAAGTGGCGAACAACACACAAGTGACACCATCCACACTGAAGAATTACTTCTGTTTAGTTGGCCACGATCAACGACTGTCGGCGTTACACCACTTTGTGCAGACCAAGAAGGATGAGAAGCTCATTGTTTTCTTCTCGACGTGTGGGTCTGTCGATTTCTTTGGACGCGTGCTGGAAGAGTTGTTTAGCGGGCACACGAAGGTTCCAGTTGTGTCGTTGCATGGTAAGATGCCGCAGAAGAAGCGGACGACAAATTATGATCACTTTTCGACGCTAAAAGCAGGACTTTTGGTGTGCACGGACGTCGTCGCGCGTGGCATTGACCTGCCAGACGTAGACTGGATCGTGCAGTATGACCCGCCGCAGGATCCAAACTTTTTTGTGCATCGTGTGGGGCGCACAGCCCGTGCAGGACGCTCTGGTTGCGCGCTTTCTTTCTTGTCTTCGAACGAAGACGCGTATGTGAATTTTCTGAAGATTCGTAAAGTACCGTGTGAAGAGATGATGCTTCCTGTCGACACGATGGAGGATGTCCTGCCCAAGGTAAAGTCTATGATACTGAAGGACCGGGATTTCCTTGAAAAAGGCACGAAGGCCTTTATATCATTTGTGCGCTCGTACAAGGAGCACCAATGCCAGTTCATCTTTCGCTTCAAGGAGCTCGATTTGGGTGCTGTAGCTCGTGGATTCTGTCTGCTGCAATTGCCGAAAATCAATGAGTTGCGTAACGTGCGCATCAAGTTCGAGAAGACCGACATAAAGATCACTGACATCAGATTTAAGGACAAGGCCCGTGAAAAAGAGCGTCAGAAGAAGCTTGTCGCTATTGCAAAGGAGAATGAAGCTCGCGATAGAAAGGATGCTGAGATGCAAGAGAAGAAACGCAAACGGACGCTAGAGGAAGAGGATCGGAAGCACCCACGTCGGCGTGAGAAGAAGAAAGGTTTGCACCAGCAAATCGTCGAGGAATGGGAGGAGTTGGCCGAGGAAGAAGCACTGTACAAAAAGATGAGGAAGGGCAAGATCACGGAGAAGGAGTACGAGAAATCGCTGCTGGGCAAGGCAGATGATTCTGACGATGACAACGATGCCGAAGATGACGGCGAAGGTACAAAGAAGAAAAAGCCAAAGTGGCAACGTGCAGAAGAGAAGCTGAAGGAGCAATTCCGAAAGAAGGAACAGGTCGTAAAGAAAACTGCAGAGGAGAAGCGTGAGGCTGCAAAGCGCGAGGAACGCATCCGTAAGCGCAAAAAATCTCGGCACGTCCAGCGCGCTCTGCAAAGAGCCCAGCGCCGGGCGCGATGCTAGATTTACATGTACGTGGGTTTTGAAATAGGATAATATCAATAGTTCGTTTGCAAACATCCTCTGATGTGAAGCCTCGGTAAGTCCCAACGTATCATCGAACGGCTAGTTAGCAAATAAAAATCATGGTCTGTTGGATACGTCGCGAGAGCGCATAACCCTACGTATAGAACACGTATAGAACACACGCGAGCGCAGCTGTACAGCCGCTGTTGCTTTTCGGCGGATAGGAGCAGCTTCCAAGTTCAACATGTAGCCAACTGAGTACCTAAACTGCACGCGAGCACGTTTGAGTTGGTAGATCCATCAGACGACGAGATACGTACGATCAGCGGTGTTTTTAATGAAGGCATCGCCACTTATTTCACAGTAATCGTTAGCATGAGGATCACAAAAATACTAGCAGTAGTTCCAGGCACTTGTATCGACAAGTGCCTGGAGCTACTGCTAGTATTTCGTTTCCCTTTGTCGCAACGTCGATGCATTTCCCGAATTAACGCTTCACTTAGTTTCTGCATAGCACAACAAACGGCATCTAGCGCTGCGAATGGCATCTTCATTGAAAAGAGTTCGGCTGCAGCATCACTGTAAAGTAGCATTCGATTGTCGGGCAGCATCTGTACGAATCACTCAAAAGGCGGCTAGCTATCGACCCAGAGCTGTATCGGCCCGCAAAGCATTGACGCAACCTTATCAAATGATGATTGCCGACCCTATACCGGGTGTCGTGTGCAGCGCTGTCATCGCATTCGCAGCTCTACGTTCAGCGAACGGATTAGGTGCCTATCTCGACATGTTGTCGCATTAGTGTGCTGACTTTGGACTTGGCATCACTGCCATAGCCCGGTGACTCCTCCTCAATGCCGAGGAGGTCAGAAAAAGGCCGAAGTCTCGTTTGGCATCGTCATGTCTGCCGCGTTGATCAAACCTGAGGTTCCTGTTCGCCAATAGCATTGATGAGGTAATGGGTCGATTGGCATTATGTGGTAATGTCAGTCTGATGAGGGAGGGTGTAACGGCGTTACACGTTCGTTATCATTTTAGAAAGATATACCTTGTTTATGTGAGTATGCAATCCCAAGTTTATCTGTAATAATCGATGTGGTTGATAACCTCAGTCATCCATTTATGACAGATTGATGTACCATTCATTAATCTTTAATAAACTGAAGATTACTATACGAATTCGTTTGACCTTAGTATTAGGTAGTTGAATGAGGTTTATTTTAGATCAAACTGAGTAACAATCAGTTTCCTTTTCGATCACTTGTTGCCACGTGTATACTTAAAACGTCGACAGATCACAGAGAGTCAGAGCCATCTTGTGGCATAGAATCTAAAGCACCATGTACGAGCGATTCCTTCGAATCGTTATTAGTCCTTTGAACCAGATCTGGAATCTTTACGAGCGTAAAGACTCTCCGAGTCTTTGTTGATTAGTTCTAAGAACTAAAGACTCTTTAGTTTTGTAGTCACTTAGTTCCGTAAAGCTAAATAATGACTTCTAGAGTCATTAGTCTTCCTCTGACTAAGAGCTCTGTAGCTCCACTACACGCATGACGTCGAATCGTTGATGTGGATCAGGGGCAATGTAATACTCCACATAGTTATACACTGTTGACGCGCGAGCACAAAATGTGTCGGGAAAACGATTGGCACCCATAGTATGCTACTCAGCAACGACCTGAGTTTTTCTTGCAATGTTTTTCTTGTGATAGAACCCTGGTGGTCAAACTCGTACACTTTAATTTACTTTGTCATACTTCTACCAGTATAAAGTATACCATATCTTCGCGTGTCTGGCATAAATTAGGTATGTGATAACTTGAATTCAGCATTGTCTAAAACGAGTCTTGAGCTCGACAGATGCATACATTGCATCCCATCACGATCGTAATGCGAGCCCGTAGGGTGAAGCTTTGAGTAAGTGTGCGCAAGGTCGCATACCGACCTATTAATTTGTACTTGTCTGTCTGTGTGTGATTGTCGGTAAATAAATGCGGTTAGGTGTACTCTTACTCGATTTGAATACGATCTAGGCTGTCGTCCCTCATTGTCGATTAGCGTAAAAGGTGTCAATCTATGGCTAGGTCAATGTTGTAATGCACACCTCTGATTGGCTTAAAATAGATCGAAGGTAAATATGATCACACGAGCTAACGATGGACGCTTTTAAGCAAAGACAGATCGCGTTGACCAAGTATACTGAATAAGGTTGATACATACATTCACATCATCATACTCCATCTTCAGTGACTGCTGCTGTTGTACAGTGTTTTGTTCATAATTCAGTTCTTCGAATTGGATTAAGATCAGTGAGCAAGCTCTGGAGCTCGCCTATGATTTTAGTAATTTAGTTTATCGAACTGAATCAAGATGCAAAACAAAATATAGCAGCAGTCACTGAAGAATGAGTATGATGCCGCTGGCGTCTGTAATAACCTAGTGCAATATACTTAGGCAGCGTGATCGGCCTTTTCTTATGAGCGTCCGGCATTTGCTAATGTGATCATATTCACCTTTGATCGGTTTAAAGTCACCACAAGCCTGCAACAAAATATTGACCTAGCCAAAGAGTGACTTCGGGCATACCTAAATTTACTGGGGGATCAGGCTAGATCGCTCTTAAGTACGATTTAGGTACACATAGCCGCGCTATTTACAGATAGACACAAGCAGTCAAACACACCTATAAGTACGGATTTTGAATTTGGTATTCAACCTTGCGCACACTCACTAATAGCTTCGCCTTTCGGGCTCGCAAAAAATCTAGATTTGAACATTCTTGCGCATGATACACTTTGGATCATCAATCTATGCCGTGGTCAATCATTGAATGAGCGCAGTTGTATTTAAATGCAGCGCGCCAAAGTCGTGGCACCTGAAAAGTTGATCGTATTGAAACTCACATTAACTACCACAACACCAGGATGAACATTCTTGACCCCCAACCTCGACAATCTTTACACCACAACGATAAACCTATAGGACCGCGTAATTGCCTTAGTAGAAGAAAGCCACGTAGTGGTGTAACCCTAACCACATCTCGCTCTTGAATGCAGGTAAAATTTTGATGCTTATCTACAGTGTACATAAAAGGAAGTAGCTGACCCTTCTACAACAACACTTTTTCATTCCATAACACGTGCACTGGAGCCTCTTTCTGGCTTTGCCTTGCTCTCCCCTGTAATGCGCTAGAATCGAAAGAGAATGACCGTGCGGTAATTTCACACGGACGATTTGCAACAGAACCAGGTAATTGTGCTTAACTTATGTCGGGCACTGTACCCCACCATCGATTGCCGCCACTCGTAGCTGCTCGGGTTACAGTGTTTAGTGAAGGAAGTAGCTAAAATAAATTACCACACGTCGCCGAACTAAAGACATGCGTAAGAATGTTCAAATCTAGTATTTTATAATTTGGAGATGAGATTGTAAATTACTTCTGAGAACGGTGATATTCCTAATCTTACCAATTAGAAGGCGAAAATCAAATAACATACGGTAATATATTGGGGTGGTGGGTGGTTTGCGAAAACGCGGTGGGTGGTTCACGTTTTCCTAAAAAGAAGTACGACAAAATGACGATACACACAAATAATCAAATTGCGTCTCGAAGTCACAGGTAATATAAAATTCGGCCATGCCATACGTATAGTATACGTCCGAGATATATTTATCGTTGTCATCTCGCGGTATGTGTGTTTATGCTCCCAACATAAAAATGGTTGTGGGATCGTTCGGCGTGCGAAGCTAAATTTATTAGTCCATGCGCCATGCTCATTGTACTCATCGTTCACGTGCTGTACACACTAGGGTCGGCATTATACTCATTGAACTCATCGTTCACGTGCTGTATGCGCTAGGGTTGGCATCATCGGAAATCTACGTATCTTGCATGCCATAGTATGACGGGTGAGACTCTCGACCAAACACAAAATATGCTTCGTTCCAATTTCAGAGCGAGTGGAAATATGAAATTGATTGCTCTGGACGCGTGGATTCACGCGACGAAACGACCTCAGATCGTTGTTTGTCAAGTGCAAGCTATGCAGCGTATAATGCGTGCACTATAAGAGCGAGACAGAGTTTGTTAATTTTTGAAGAGCGTCATGCACCTAGGTCACAGATGCCATTCATTTCGATGCTTTTAAACATCTGCAAAATACGAAGGCATGTGTCACCGGACTACTTGATGACAGACAAATCCGCCTCGGAAACCATAGTACAACGTCGACAAGTGACAACAAGCATTGGAAAGTATTAAACCGTTCGTCATGCCATCAACATTTTGAACTGGAGCGCATTGCACAGCGCACAGCACCACGAAAGAGTGCTCAATTAAGAGCTTCTTAGCTTGACCTCAGGCTGCTCCTGTCAAAGAAATACACTCGAGTCTGCCTATTACTTCCATTCAGCCAATTCAGGCCAGTAATGAACCACCGCTACCGCGCCGATTTCGTCAGGCCTGGATAAGCAGAGTGCCGGCTCTCTACTCGTCGTTGAAGCCATTCTAAAAGCTCAAGAACACGACGAATGTATTGCGATTCTGCGTGCAATAATCCACAGCCGTCGGACATTCCGATCAAACAGACAGCAAAGAAGTGTCTGCAGTTTTAAAGGGAAGTGCCGCAGACGCTAATGCGTCCAGGCATTACAACCTTGTTGTGTGTATTTGTACAATGAGGACACCAATATCGCTGGCTAAGGTGGCGAGATAGCGAGAACTGTCGTGCTGAGATTATTCGTGCTATCACTTGGTGGGCAAACCAAAGCAGATAAATAGCATAGCGTTGGACAAGTATTAGCGATTACCGAGTGCCACGCTAGTGTGGCTGCAAAATGAAAGCAGGCGTATTGCACCAGCTACAACGGAGACGACGGCAGGTCGCGACATAATCGGGTTGGATCACAAAAAGATACCAACAAGAAGCTGCCTTCCGACTAGGGAAGGGATAAAATACAGCGAGTGAAAGATCAGTCGGCAGTAAGTGAGACAACAAGTGCGCAATTAGCTGAAATGATACCTATTTGATGTTTGTGCGTGTCCGTCGAAGACAAGTAGTCAACAGCTGAGGTGGTTGTTCACTGAAATGAACGTTCGAGCCACATATCTCCGCTATATTGCCACACCTGGGCTTTCCAAGTCCAGGTCGTGATCGTCACCTATAACTGAGTCCGACAAAAACCAGTCTGAGCATCCGTGACGAAGTGTAAACCTCCTAACAATTACTCCACGGTCTTGTAAGCGCTTGTGGTGAGCTTGAAATCATTGCTACCACTTCAAAATCGATCCTTTGTTTACATACTTGGATAGCTGAATATCCCAACAAAACTAAATACGCTGCGGCGATGAGCCTGCGATCTCAGCGAGAGACCACTCCCCTTTGCGACAGTGCGTCCGAGAGCGAAGGAAGAGACTCATACATCCACTCAGGCGTGGAAAGTAATGAAGGTGAAGATATGCACGCAAAGGAATATGTGGGTGAAATTCTGAAGGAATTTGCGATGGTAAATCGAAGACTAAAGGGTAACACGGACAGCGATGAAGACGACAACGACGATGAGACGATCGCATACATTGCAGAACAATCCTCAATTTTAGTTGCGCCGATTCTTGCTGATTATTTCTGCCATCCGTCACGAACGTTTCCAACGTTGGAAGCAGGACAAGCATCACTGCGCGGAAAAGCCCATTTGAAAGGATTTGCGATCAAGAAGAAGTATGAGAAGAACGCGGACAAGCAGGAAGGAGAGCGCAGTCAACGGACCAGAAAGGAGTTTCAGAAAAGGCTTTACCTCCAATGCGTATGCGCGGGCAGACGACTCGCGATGCATCCGTGAAGCCTAAACGAGAAACGCGCAGTCGTCTTAAAGGATGTCAATGGAGAGCTCATATCATGAAAGTCGATGGTAGCTACAGGGTCAATATCTCGGGTGAGCATAACCATGCTGGGCTGCCCAGGAACCATGAGCGTTTATCCGGCTGCTCGCAGAGGCACCCCCGAGCAGGAAACCTTTGTTCTCAACCTGATCGAATCCTTAGCAGTGGTACGATTTTGGACAACCTGAGAGAAACATTCGGCGGTGCGTGCCTCCTGACTGCCAAAGATATCCGTAATCGAAGGCAAAAGTATCGAGCCCAACTAAAAGCTCGATCGCCGGAAACGGACGCTTTGGTGCTCAAGTTGATTGTAGACACCTAAGGAGTAATTGCTCCCGTTGAAGTAGATCAAGGACTATCTTCACGTAGATATTCTGCTGCTTTGGTGAACTTCCTTTCTACTCTTCGGTTGCTCTTTCATTTTGTGAATGTTATTGCCCGATGCGACTTTTGCAATTGGCATCGCTGCTTTCCTTGGTCCAGGTACATTATTTGTCAGGCGCTTGTAACCTTCTCAACATGTAAGTGTTTGAGCTGACGGGCATGACCATCCGGTGATACCGGCAGTGTTTGTCTTTGATAGACGTGCAGAAAAGGCCGAGAAGGCAACATTACCGCTGTTTGCGTACTTGCTGCTGGCTAGTCCTGCACTTGCTGCTTGTTAGGCATTTCTCTTCCGACTGTATCACAAACGACGGTATACGACTAGCAAAAGCCCACGAACTTGAATTGTTACACAGCCACATGAACGCATGTTGCGTTATTAAGTAGCCGTTCAAAACGAAGGTGACTCTCCTCATTTAGTCCCTAACACACACGAAGAGCTCCACCCAAGATAGTCATTGCCGCTCGCTGGCATGAAACTGTGCAGTGTAACACAAGACCCACAGCATCTTTTCTGCAGTCGCATCACATTACCAGTCGTTCTTGTGGTACAGCTTGCCCTTGATGCTAAGCTTGGACGCGTTGCGTGACCGCCGCTTACCACCCTCTTTCTGACGTGCCTGCCGCTCACGTTGGACCCGCTGCTTAATCACCTCGCTTTCTGCCGAATACGAATTCTGTGCTTCGTCACTGTCATCTTCGGTCGGTTCCTTCGACCCATCTACCTGGCTATCAAGAGTCACGCCCTCAACATCCAGCGCAAGGTGAGCCACTTCCTCCCTGTCACTCTCCTCATTACTCTCCCTATCTTCCTCGCTTTCGTCCTCCAGGCTATCGCTGTCGCTGTCGCCATCCTCGACATTCTGGTGAGCCGAGAATATTGAAAGCTACAATGAACAAATTGTCCGTCAGGCGCCACTACTGGACACATTATCGATGATTACACCAACTTACATCGTGCACTTTTTCGCCAAACTCCTTGCCGAAACCACTTGCCTCCACATCCTCGTCTAGTCGATTGTTCTCGTCCGCAACGATGTCGTCCAACTTAGGAACACGCTAGTACCACAAAAGCAATTTCAGTTGGCAAACATTCTCAATCTACCTCTCAGCCAGACACATGCCTCATGATTCAGCGAAATAGAAAGCTTACGTCTGGTGTGTACGCACCACCTTGAAGCCGCGAGAAGAACTTCACGAGTCCATGCACATCGCGATCAAACAGCCTGTATCAGACATGCAAAGGGTGAGCATGAGCGGCGATCCATACAGCAGATAATAGCTACACTCACTCGGCAGCATTTGGGTGCGATGTCGAGATCATCTGTGGGAAATCGATCATCGTGATTTTGCCATCGCCCCCAATCATAATATTAAACTCGTTGAAGTCGCAATGGACCAGCCCGTACTCCGCTAGACGAACTACAATCGACATGGCCGTGTCGTAGACGAGCTTCGAGTTGGCCAGACGGCGTACTTGATTCAGAGGATAGCCATCTACAAGACTCATACAAATGGCATGACGATTGCAGTCAAACGGCGTCGGCGTCGGAAAGTCGCGGTCGTACAGCGCCTACAACAGCATCAAAAGAAAGAACACGGAGCGAGCAAAGTAAAACGTGAGCAAGTAAACGCCAGCAATTACAACCAAATATCGTCCATCTGCTATTGAATATTACCTTGAGGAAAGCGTATTCTTTCATAGCCGAGAGTCGCGACATGTAGAACCAGCTCACGGACTTGCGGTTCTTGAGGTAGTCACGCTTGCTCTTCACAGCTCGAAACGACGTGCGTCCGAGCCGGTGGAACTTGATCGCGACTTCCGTGCCGTCCTCTTGTGTCGCCAAGTAAATGTCCGACTCTTTGCCCACGCCAATCTGACGCCCCAATCCCGTGATGTGCCCGCGTTGCAGAAACACGCGAAGCGCCAGAAAGTCATAGCCACTGTACGTGAGACGGTAGCCATCGTAGGCGTTGCCGTCGTGCGCAATGAGTTTATTACGCAGCAAATGCGACAGAATCTTCTGCACGCCGCCGTGACGCAGCTTGGCGATGCTCGTGATGAGCTCTACAGGCACGACCTCGTGGTTCTTCATGCCCATTTCAATAGCCGTGAGCACTCGAAAGTGTTCCTTGCTCAGGTACCGCATGGCCGTCACGTCGAGCTTCATGACGGCGCTTCTTCCCCAGAAGAAGATTAAAAAAATGATAAATAATAACACGATTAAGTCGCGCGCTTATCATTGGTTGGGAGCTCCGAGGGCCGAGTGTACCGTAATTGCGGTACAGCTGGGTTTCGTGTCCCGGATCAGGTCATGAACATGGCACCGATTCGATTCGTGTTGAAGCCATCGAGTAAGAAACGGCGACGCTGGGAGAGTGGCCCCTCGGACGAGAAGGAGAAGAGGAAGGCGTTGGTATGCAGCGTATTTGACAGCATAGGAGAGAAGCAGGTGCGGGAAGAAGAATGTGGTGATGATGGGCGTGGAGTGGAGCGTCGAGTGGCTTTGCTTGAAGATGTTCGGACGAAAGTAGAGCGGCTGAAAGGGGAAGGCAATACGCTTGCGGAAGCTGGACGATATCGGGCGGCAATGAGAAGATGGCGAGAAGCTCTGGGTGAGGACCCAAGGAATGCTGCGCTGTATGAGCTACTGGCCCAGGCTTCGATGGCGCTGTACGAGGACTTCGAGGCGGTTTTGTTTGCACGCAAAGCGACCGACTTGGCGCCAACGTGGAGTGACGGATTCCTGACTCTCGCTCGGTGTCAACTCAATTTTGGCGAGTTGACACTCGCTCTTGAAGCTCTTCATCGAGTCTGTAATGACAGCGTTTTTGTGCATTTGCAACGTTATTGATCCTCACGCTTGATGCTGCTTTTTTCCTAGGCCGTTGAGCTGGATGGTGGAGTATGGACAGACGAAATGGCATCTGATCGTCGGGAGATTGACAAGCGACTGGCGAAGCAGGAACAAATACTGCGTAAACGCGACGAAGAGGCGGCACGGGAAGTTGAGCTGGATAAACTGCAGGTGATTTCGTGTTTCAAACATTTGACTCTTCGAGCCAAAACGGGACGCAGTCTCGAGGGAAGCAAATAAGCATGGTCAGATGTATATTCATTGGAGCTTCCTGCGGCGATGCCAGGCACGATGGAGGTAAAAATCTATATACTATATACTGTAGCAACTAACTTACAAAACTAATCTGCCAGGCCTTACCGTTCTCCCTGCTTCCATCGCCACATTGTGTCCCGCGAAACTTGAGCAAGATTCTTCCAGGTACGCATACGAGAGATGCATTTCAACAAGCGCGTACGCAACCACCATCGTTGGTGGACAGAGGAAACCGCGCAGCTTGCTGAGCTTGGCTGTCTTCCACTTCTCCTGCGTCGGTTTGATAACACTTCTGTCTTCGTTCGAGAAATTCATGATGGCTCCGATGATCCTCCCTCGTCGTCTACGAGCAGAGTTTGTTGCCTTCAATTGTGTACGACGACTGATCGCCGTGGGCAGTGTCGTACGATGGCACGTAATCCTCAGTCTCTTGGTCAGTACAAATCTGCAGATGCGACCGCTTGCGAGACGCAGTGCATTCGGCGTCAGGCTGACTCAATGGCTGTGGCACGTAGCAGTCATATGGCTCGTGCTCCGCGTTGTCATGTTCCGCTCGTAGCTCATGTCTCGAGTCAAACAACGAGTCGATCTTTTGGCTCATAAGGAAGCACAGCGTCGTAGCAGCAGCGGCTATGTACTCCTGATCGACTGGATCGCAGCTGCCGTGGTCCAACCGACGGACTTTATCCTGCGGAGTCTTGCGTGGACTGTCATTATTGCTGCCTTGCTCGGGTGTAGACGGAGCTGTGTTGCGGCCATCTAACGACACTGGCGCTGGCGGTCCACACGAGTACCCCGAAGCAAGCGTGGCCATCTCCGCAGCTTTGCCACTTTGCTTCTTCTCAGCTTTTAGCTTGGCCACCTTCAAAAGATACTTCTGAGCGTGTGTACGCACTTGGGTCACTGACCGTGTGCGTACCACGTGCTGCACTCGTTTCCACTTGTGTCCGTGGATGCGAAATCCCTCTAGAAAGCGCTCGTGTTCGTCAGCTGTCCAGCGACCACCGCGGGTAACAGTGCCGTCCCGAGCCCCCGCACTCATATTTTCCGTGTCCTGACTGACGTCTTCTCCATTAGCAGAGCCTGAAATACCCCCACGGCGCGAAGTAGGCGACAGCGACTCTCGACTTGGAGACGACTCGACGCTGCATCGTCGTTGCTGCTGTTGCTGCTGCCCCATGCGTGTGGAGATGTAGCGGTCCTCCTCGTAGTGCTGCAAAGCTGCCGGCATCTCTTGCTTGGCCGTCCGTTGCGGTTTTGAGAAACCGTGAAGCGACGGGAGACTGAAAGTGGGCATTGTGCCGCCCGAGGAGCCAGCGCTGTGGCGATTGAGAATGTTGGCGAGACCGAATCTCGAAGAGCCGCCCCAGGGGTGAGCTTCCTGTTTTATTGACAGAGCAATAGCAGTAGCAGCAGGAGAGTTAGAAACTGGCATCCAGTGATCGGTCCTCAACAATTTGCGGTGTGGTGGTAAGCTCGCACCTTATCAAGTGACGCAACGTTCTCCTCTCGCCAGTGGCTGTAGCTGCTGCCGTAGTCTGCTCGTTTGCTCCGGTCCATAGTTTGCTTGTCTCTCTGTGACTGTCAGGCTAAAAATAACGCGCGTGTCGCGAACGGCAGCCACGTCGAGGGAGAGAGAGAGAGAGCGCGCGCAAGAGAGACGAGAGAGCAGCACGAAACGTCCGGGTTCACTGCAGCAGCAAAATAGAGTCTGAGTGAGCACGCGGATCTGAAAGTGATGGGGACCTCCAGCCGCGCGATTGCGGCGACTTGTTCTCGGTCGAGATGAATTCTATGGATCCGCTACTCGCAACCGCAAACCCCAACGCCCAGCTGGCACGTGTTGCAAACACTCGCGGTGGGGCGATAGGGAAGCGGTAGCGGGTCGAGGCCGATCGATGTCAAGACATGTGTGTGGTGGACTACTCCGACTGCTGCTTACCTTTTTCCAGGCCGATTCGCTCGGACTCTTCTTCTCTCTCACTGGTCGGACGATCTGTAGTGCTATCTTACGGCTTTTTGCGCTTTGCGTTCTGAGCGGCGACAAGATCGACGGTGGCTCACTTTACGCCGCCGCCGTCGTTCGGTCGTCGTGCGCTGGCCCTCATAGTGAGTTCAAGGCGGAGGTCAAGTGATTCAGTTCCTTTGCGATTAGGGCAGAAGCGAGGCCGTGGCAACAGCCCTGGATGGCTTGTCGCAGGGTTGTAAGACAGAAGATCGCGAGCAGGAGAACAGCTGCAGCTCTGTTGACCAAAGGTACCGCGAGATCAGCTCGACTTGCGTCCGTATGAAGAAGAAGAAGGAGAGGTGCAGAGTTGAAGCGACCAGTGGCGTGCACCCCGCGTTCCTTTCTATGGTTCATCCGCAATTCAAGAGTAGCAGTACCACGCAGTGAAAGTGATGACGTTGCATCGAAAGGAACGCGGATCGATCGGTCGATGCGTGCAATGAGGTATCAATCGTCGGCGCGTGGGAATTTCTAACGCTTTTTCGCGGACGAGGGATCGAAATTTCCGCTTTGTAAGAATGGAGCAGGTGGTCGGCGAGTGTATAGGACGAGCCGCATTCCCGCGCAACGAGCGAGCTATGACCCAGAGAAAAGCCACGTGAGTAGCAACGCGCGACGCTGATTTGCTGGCTCTGAAAAGCCGTGATGCAAGTAAAAGTATCTTGCCAAGAGTTCAGTTCACGAGACCAGTTCATTACTATCCGCACGGATTTGCGGTCAGCCGCTTCTGCAGCATCGGATACAGCTCGCACTGCCGACTGTGGAGCAACAAGGTCGGGTCGGGGATTGTGATGGATTTCCTGATCCGCAAGCCACACACGCCTTTGCACTGTTTGCAGTAGCCACGTCTCCAGGCTCTGTACAACTCGCACGAGTAGAGGCTGCTTTGGGTAAACGAATCGTTGGGCTGCTTGGATACTTGTCGCACCGTCGTCTAACGATGCGTTTTTCTCTACGCTACTCACATGGTCCCCATACCATGCGCATGACGCTGATTGACAACATGACGTGCGCCGGTCCACCCTCGCCAGTAAACTGTCATAGAAATGCTGAAGAGGGGCTATTTTTGTTAGCTATAAAGCGGTCATCGTCGTAGAGCTCCATGAACTGCTCTCGTTCCATCTGAAGGTTCCTCTCCTTGGTGAGCAGGTCGGAGTCTGTCACGTTCAGCACGACAAATGTCGGTAGAAGGACGTCTGTGTGGAGAGTTCTCAGTACGTTACTTCCCATCGCCGGTAACGGCGTTACCAGACAATCCAGTGGTGGGAGAACTACCTCGGTGCAGGAGTCTTGGCTTCCCGCCGCGTGCTTGCCACGGAGAAAATCTATGCGATCCAGATGTGGTGGCATTGCTAGTTGCTTCGTCTGTCGTGAAGTTGAGAGATTCGCGTCGACCTGGCGATCACACAGTAGACGGACGTTGCTGTGTTCGTGGGGGTCATTTGAACATGGCCGAGTCACTGCCGGTCACGGCGTTTGGATCCGCCTGCCGTGCGCATCGGTCGGTGTCAAGGTCGTGCTTGAAGGCCAGCCTGACCACATCGGCGAATTCGTGCAAATTGTGAAGCAAAGTGCACTATAAAAGTCTGGTCTTCCTTGATTCGTTAAGGTCTGCGACGGTTTCTTCCGTGCAGATTCAACGATTGCAGCAGCCAGGCGAGTGTAGTGGATGCAGGGAAGTCATCCATCGCACAGCGGATCAGCTGTTCCATTACAAGCGGCGCTTGTCGCGTAGCACGCCTCGAGTGGCGCGGTAGGGTTACCAGGGTCAGCATTATGTCGTGCGCGAACGCGTCTGTTCCAGCATCATGCCTATCGATCTCGGGGATGTAGTGTTGTAGCACTGACCCTGTGACCGGGAAGCACTCGAATCAATTCCAGTTCGCCGGAGACTGGCTAATATCGGCGACTAGCAACGATTCAATGTGTAGCTGCCCTGCCAACCCGCATCTCAGTGTGTTTGATAATCGGGTGGGCTGGAAGTCCTCCTAACCGATAATCCCCTCAGTGTAATGAGGGCCCGCGGCCATGCAGGCTACCGAGATCAGACCCTGCAAAGATTCTCTGTAAAGTGCATCTCTAGCATCATGCTACGGAATGCAAGTTCTGGCTGGAGTTCGTGTAAACCTCATGGCGCGGCGGTCGGTATCATGTCCGTCTGAGTATAAGGAATGTAAGAACGTGATACTTTTACGTATTCATCGCTCGTTCACTCGTTCTAGGCCACCTGCCGCGCAGCATCGAGTAGGATAAGCAACGTTGTCGTTGAAGGTTTGGTATTAGACTACCGCTAGGATCGAGCACAAGTGGACTGATTCGCCCCGCACTTGTGTAACGACGCGATATTCTATACACCAGGGCTCCGTCATTGGATCGCTCGCAGTCGCTGCACCCATGGTTGCGCGAAAGAGAGCCCGTCAAGGAGGAAATAAACCGTGATACAAGGAGGCGGAGTTTCATGATCATCTATTTATACGCTGTACGTGTGCAAGATGCCTGAAAAAGCTGAGCAGGATATAAGCGCCTGTCGCGGCAGCGGACCATGGTTGGCTCCTACGGAAGGCAGGTGTTCACGTGGCTCTTGCAACAATGATGAGGATAGGCTGCTTGAAGCCGGTGTTTGTACCGAGGGAGCCCATTACATGAAATTGACACCAAACGATGTCAATTGGAATATGGTCAAGCATGACAATATTCTACCAATATAGTATCCGGGATGGATACTATTGAAGGAACACTATCCCCTTTTGGATAATACTCAAGCGCTGCTCCAAGATTGGTTGATTTAAGACATGTCGACCATAGATTGCCCTTAATCGCAGCTAGACGCGCGCAATGAGTGGTGAGCAGGTTGTCGTCATACGACGGCGTAGTCTGACATAGTTAGATAAAGATTAAAGTTACATTGATAGCTTAACTATATTAAAAACAGTTCTCTTTTTACCTTAATTGATCGAATCGTTCGAGTAATTTAGCTTCCTCTGCACGCACTAGTTTACGTGCCGTTTCGTGGCAGCCCAAACAAAGGGTGACCCGTTATACCTGGTAGCACTTTGTAGTCCGTCCAACGACTTCTTAGTGACCGTCCAACATGAACATGTCGGACGTAGAAGACGACAGCTTTCACGTCACACGTGAAGGCTACTCCCATTTGAGTGACTCAGAATGGGAGATAGTCGGCCGCATGAGTGTGCTCATGGGCGAACCCGCCATCAGTGGCATGTTGGAGTGTCTAAGCAGAGACCAGCAACATTCTGCTATCAACAGGTTCCTACAAGGGGAACTTGCCGTCGAAAGACAGAAGATATGTAACGGGGTGAGAGCCCGTTACCGTCTTACACTAATAATTAAGCTGAGGAAGCGCTGTGATTTATAAGGTAAATTTAACTCTGTTTGTATTTTTGTGTTTTTATAATTCGCAGTAAGTGCGAATATGTTCCCTAGCTCATGGGAACCACTCAAATACAGAACTAATTATTATTGGCTAATTATTGGGTCTGGCACCCCAATAATAGCCAATAGTAAATAACGTGCAGTATCTGCTATTCGGATACTGCATATACCTACTTATGTAATTATGTAATAAATCTATGACTACTTAATATAATGAGTTGCCACATTACATCATCCCCTCTTTAAGTTGTGCTTACCTAAACGTAAGCGGCATACACAGAAAGTTTCTTCTTAACGAATAGTCCAACGAAAATCCCAACGAGAACTCCAACGACACGTCATCTTGGTCTTCGAATCTGCTCAGCCACAAACAACTGAGCAGCATGAATCCTGAACACCCACGCGACTCGACCCCAAACGACAGTTGGGGTCATCAGACACTTCGAAGAGAGCGTGCACCGCAGACCATGGATGAAGATTTGAAACCGTGGGGCTTGTACAGCCTTGAAGGCGCTGACGAGCCTGAACCGCTTGAGTCGATGAAGAACCTCTTCACACGATACCGCAACGTGCGGGGCAAGACGACGAGTCATGCATACACTGAAGACGCACTGCAACGATCTTGGTGTGCCTTCATCAGACACTGGAACGCGAGTCGACGTGAAGGAACATCCTTCACGTCCTGGATCGAGAGACGCGAGGACACTCGTGGTGTGCACGCTATTGGCGATTTACGCTGACGTGTGTGTCGTCTGACTCGTGACGAGTTCCACATGTGTTACGTCCATGTCCGTGAAGGGTGTCCACGGTGTCACATGGAGAGACCGCGACCAATGCGGCAGGAATGGGACGACATGGTGTGTGCACGGGGAATGCCCTAGCACATCCGACCATGGATCGGCCGCTATGAGAGAAGCCTCTCAGAGCTCCAAGTATCCACGCTGCGTCACATGAGGGAACGCCCTGTCGATCAATGGAGGCGTTCACGTAGTCGAGATCGTTTGTCTTACGACCACCGAGGTCGTTCTCGTAGTCGCTCTCGACCGTCAAGGTATCCAAGTGCTCCCGAGCCCCATTGTAAACCTCGAAGTCGCTCGGGGGATCGTCGTCGATCGCCAATTCACGCACGTTACGGTTCGCGGGATCGTGGAAGGAGTCAGCAGCGTCGGTCGCTTTCGCCGACTTCTTACTGGATTCATACTCCTCGACAACGTCAGGAACATCGCGAACCAATGTACTTCGAGGCTCCCACGTGTCGTCCGTTGGTGAGTAACCCGACTAACGGACCTTGTAGTGTGTCTCAGCTCGACTTTTCGATGGCACCGAGTCGCTACTCGTAGTATGGCGGGAGGGACGTGGGGTCTTCATGACCGACGATACGGTCCACAATCCAGCGTTGCACACATGATGCATCCACCAAGGGAGGAGGAGCATCACGACGGAAGGCTTCTTGGGTTGGGCGCCGATTCTCATAATCGGGCGCCTGTGCCGTCGAGTGACGAGCTTCGTTTCCTTCGTGCTGAGACTGAGGAGGCGAAGAATGGCTTGCTAGATGCTCATGAGATGGCCGAGAGTGCTCAAGATCGTGCGGCGGCTGCGACGGAGGCTGCTGAGAGGACTTGACGGGAGCAGCAGGTGTTGGTGGATCGTCTTCGCCAACTCGATACTGCCGCTTTTGGAGGGCCTCAGCAGAACGAGTCTGCACGCCATCGGGAAGGACTTGGTCCCAGTCGTCGGCAGCATCGTCGACTGGGGGTGTCGGACTTTGAGCCGATACAGACGAGTGAGGAAGGACCAAAGGGAGATCCGCCGGCAGGTAAGCCTTAAGGCGCCCGACATAGAATGTCGGGTGCAAGCGCATAGTGGTAGGTATGTCTAGCGTAAAGGCATCTCCATGAACTTTGATAACCCGAAAGGGACCAATAAATCTTGGAGCTAATTTGGTGGCGCCCAAATTCGTCACTGATGTGTCTGGTAATCCGCTTGTCGATAGTAAGACTCTGTCACCTTCTTTGAACGTCAGCAAGTTCTTTCGACCTCGCTTGTCCTCGTTCTCTTTTTGTTTATCCACTGCTTCTTGGAGTGCATCGCGTGCAAAACGTGTGATGCCTTGTCGTAGTAATAGAAATTCGGTCACAGCAGCCGAGCTAATAGGTGAAGTGAGCTCTGTAGGAGCAAAATTAGCGAAGGAAGGCGTGATGGGATGCATCGTGTCGGGACTTGAGATGCCGTTGGCCACAAAATTAACAGCATGAGACGCATCGTGAGCAACCTTATCGACAACGTAATCAATCATCAAAATTTTTCGCGTAGTGTCATCGGTAGATACTCCCCCACCAAGCGTAGAAACTGTGTGTGGTGAATCTGAGAGAGCAAGATGCGCTGAAACGCGAGGGGGCCTCGCGGTGCTCACGAAAAATGGCGTCAATCCTGTTGACGCATCGATTGCATTGTTGATTGCAAATTCGGCGAGTGGAAGGAATAAGCTCCACGACGTGAACGATGTCGCATAACTACGAAGGACATCTTCAAGCACTCAATTGACACGCTCCGTTTGCCCATCCGTTTCTGAATGGGCCGCCGTAGACATAAGCAAACGCGTGCCCAGTAGTTGAAACAACGTTGCCCAAAAAGCCGAAGTAAAGCGCGGGTCACGGTTCGAGACGATGTATTCTGGCAAGCCCTGGTGTCTAAATATGAGATCAATCAAGATCTTCGCGGTTGTCTCCGCCGTAATGTGCGCGGAGACTGGAGCAAAGTGCACCATTTTGCTAAATCGATCCACAAGAACCAAGACGCCTGTGCGGTTCTTCTCGTCCGGTGGAAGAACAAAGGTGAAGTTCATACTGAATGAACGCCAGGCTTCCGTAGAAATCGGAAGCGGTCGTAATGAGTTGTGAAGATGGCGCAGGCTTCACACGCTGGCATATTTCGCAAGAGCGTACCCATTTCTGGATGTACTTGTACATGCGTGGCCAGAAAAACACTCGAGAAATGACCGTTAACGTCTTTCGAGACCCACATGACCACCAGCTGGGGTGTCATGAAATTCATGCACCAATCGCGCTCGAAGGCCGTCATCAGCAGGGACGACTACGCGCGGTGGTTCAAAGACGTCCATTTTGTACGTCAGTAGAGGACCATAAAGCCGAAAAGCTTGATGTCGTCACGCGTTGGTTTCGTCAGCTTCGCGAGTGACCCTTCACTAGGGTGTCAAAGATAGTTTGATAATTCCTGAGTAGAAGGAATCATTCGCATTAGACTCAGCGATCTGAGACCGATAGCACAGGTGTCGAGACCATTGCATTGAGCCCCAGCTCAATACAGCACAAACAAATGTCATTGTCTTCGTCATCAGCACTACCTGGCTGACGACCCATGTCGCGTCGAGGATCGTAATCGGGACGCCGAGAAAGCGCGTCAGCAAGAATGTTATTCTTGCCGGGCTTGTAAAACACCACGAAATTATACTCTGAGAAGAAAGACAACCAACGAGCCATACGCTGAGACAGGTGAGGGGTCTTGACGGCGGTACGCAGTGATGCGTGATCTGTATATACTGAAAACATCTTCTCGCCGAGTAAATATACCCTGAACTTGATCAGCGCATAACGCATAGCCAAAAGTTCTTTATCGTGTGCCGGATAGTTTCGCTCGGCAGGTTTCATCTGTCGCGACTGAAAACTCACGACGCGCTCTCGGCCCTCATCGTCACATTGCATGAGGCACATCCAATCGCAAAGTTACTCGCGTCACAAACAACGTGAAATGGCTTGGAAGCATCAGGCAGCATTAGCACTGGTGCATCAGACAAGCTCTTTTTCACGGAGTCGAAGGCAGATTGATGTTCTGCCTTCCATGACCAAACTGCGTCTTTCTTCAGCAAAGTCGATAATGGTTGAATTAACTCGGCATAATTCTTCGTATACTTATGTAAGTAGATAGCCAGGCCGAGCCATTGTCGTAATTCAGATTGGTTCCTGGGAGTAGGCCATGAGTATATCGATGACACTTTCTCGGGATCAGCACGGACACCTTCGTTGCTGCCATAACAGCCAAGTACTGGAATCTCGGGAGCACAGAAGACACACTTCTTCAAATTGGCATACAATTTGTTCTCACGCATCACTTGAAACACCTGTTTAAAGTGCCGAATGTGAACCTCCGTGGCGCTAAGATGTTGCTCAGCTCGGCTGTGTACAAAAATGCTGTCGAAGTAGCTTGGTGCAAAACCACGTAGCGGGCAGAGTAGTTGTGTCACCATCCGGTTGAACGTAGCTGAAGCGTTCTTAAGGCTTTGTGGCATGACTAGCCACTCCCATAGCATCCCACTCGGGGTGCTGACCGCAGTGAATGGAATATCACTGTCTCTCATTAGGATCTGGTAAAACCCGTCTGTCAGGTCGATGGCACTAAAAATCTCGCTGCCGGACATGGTATCCAATACCATGTCTTTGCGCAGAATTGGTGTTTGAGCCGGGATCGTGGCGTCATTCAACTTGTTAAAAGCATGCACGATGCGCCAACCGCCGGTTGTAACGGGGTGAATCGTTACATAACAATTTATAAGAAATTGTTAATAGAATATAACTATAAGAGTTATATTCTCAGAATATTGTCATAAGGACAATATTCTGTAGCACTTCCAAGTAGTTCCTAATTGGTTGATATAGGCCATTATATCAACCAACGAAGACGCGCCACGACAGACGCACGCAATGAGTGGTGAGCAGATAACTGATTTACACATTTGTATTTAGACATAGTTAGATGAAGATAAATAGTGATTTATTGCAGACATTAACTATTATAAATACAGTTCTACTTTTTACTCTAACCAAGTACTCGCTTCTTCTTACCGTCTTCCTCTGCACGTACGAGTGTACGTGAAGTTACGAGGCACCGCCTTATTCTGTTATCAGAATAAGTAGCTTGTACTGTCACCAGTACAAGCTTCAGGGTGCCCCGTTACACCTGGTAGCACTTCGTAGTCCGTCCAAGGACCAGCGTTCACATCCAACATGAATATGTTGGATGATGAAGATGACCAAAGCTTTCACGCTACGCGTGACGGCTACTCCCATTTGAGCGATGTCGAATGGGATGCGGTTGAACGAATGGGTTCGACCATGGGCATCCATGCTGTTAGCGTCATGCCAGAGGCTCTCAATAGAGATGCCCAACATGCTACTATCGCCAAGTTCATTCAAAATGAACTTGACGCAGAACGCGAGAAAGTAGCCTTGCTTCACCAACAAGGTTCTCAACAAGCAGAGTTGTTGAGAGAACAAGGTGCTCAACAGTTTGAACTGTTGAGACAGCAGCAGGCTGCTGCTGGCGGGTCGATGCACTCGCGTCGGCCCGAGACTTTGAAGATTGACATCTCAAAGTATAGGGGGGTCGAAGAAGACTCCCTCTTGAGATGGTTCGTCGAATTGGATGACGCCATAAGGGCGCGTCGCATCGACGACGGGGATATGCAAGTTGCATTTGCCCAGTCAAATCTGGCAGGACGTGCCAAGACTTGGGCACTGGGGCTCAAGCTGCACGACCCATACGCGTTTGGGTCGTTGGAAGTCTTCAAGTCGCGGCTCAGACAAACGTTTGAACCGCCTAGAGCTGAGTTCAGAGCTCGAACCGAACTCTTGAAGCTCAAGCAGGGTAAGCGTGATGTGCACGCTTACGCTCAACATATACGACATCTCACGAGTTGTATAAGTTCCAATCCGGTGGATGAACACACGTTGGTTTCGGTGTTCATGCAGGGTCTTGCGGATGGTCCCGTCAAGACTCACCTGTTCCGGCTTGAACTAGATTCACTAGAACAAGCCATTTCAATTGCGGAGCAGGAAGACTTCAGTCTGAGACAGGCTCGCGCCAGCTCGACATCATATCGTCAACCGAGACGATATGACAACGGAGGTCCAGAGCCGATGGAACTCTGTTATGTAGAGAGCGAGAAGGCTCGCTCTACAGGCTACAAGAAGTTGCAGAGATGCAACAGATGTCAAAAGACAGGACACTACGCTTACGAGTGTAGTGCTCCTCGTCCAGTGTCTCGCGACACTGGGCGTAGTGACCGTCCACCCATGAGAAAGGGGCAGGGACGAGGGTCCGCAGTTGGTGCAAAGACGCAACAACGGGATGGACCGTCAAAACGGACAGGATCAGTAGGTGCGGAGCACCCTACTGATCCAGCAACGTCAAGAGAATTTGTAGGCCTCTTGATGAAGGTTGCTCCCAACACACAGACATTGTGCGTTGCTGCTCTAGGTAATGAGATCTCACTCATTACCTTGAAACTCGAAGTGACGAATAAGTTGTCCCTTCGAGCTCTAGTCGATTGTGGGGCGTCCAACAATTTTGTGCGACGCCAATCGCTAGAAGATGGTCACTTTAAATTCAGTGAATGTGACACACCTCCTACGAGGATGACGGTACGTCTTGCGACAGGCGCATCCGTAACCAGTCATGAAGCGTATAGTGAAGATTCACTATACGCTAGAAGATACCCAATACGACGATGACTTTATCGTATTGGATTTGGATGACAAATTTGATGTCATCCTTGGAATACCGTGGCTCAGAAGGTACGAACCACGGGTAAACTGGCAACATCGGACAGTAACGATGCCTGCCGCTTGTTCATCAGATGGCCATCTGATGAACGTTTTGGAGCGTCCACAAGCGTGTGGATGTACTACGAGTGAGTGCGATGGCCTCACTTGTGGTACGGTCGTTAGTACGACTGCACAAAACCTTAGTGTACCAAACGGTTACACTTCGGAGCAAAGTTCCGGCGGCTGTGAGGAAACACAGGCTGTGCCGAAGGTCCACCACTCGAATAAGTCGGGTGGACTGGGACAAAGATGTATCCCTAGAGGGGAACATCTAGAAGAGAAACAATCGATCGCTCAGGTTAAGCGAAACGATAATCCTAGATCGACTGGAGAGTCTTTCGTAGAGGATCTCGCTGTGGTTGCGCAACCCCAGCTAGAGGAAGTAAAGGGAATAAGTCCCAAGATTACAAATACGGCGGAAATAAGTTCCCCGAAACCCGCGGGAATAAGTCCCCGGGAAGACGAAGGAATAAGTCCTTCGAAGCCTGAGGGAATAAGTCCCCAGGAAATGACAGAGACATTGAATGTCATAGTCAATAACGGATCATGTGTAGGCGCTTATACACTTGATCTGATTGCGCCTCCGAAGTTAACTTCGGAGATCACTCAGTTGCCAACGCTCGAACATAAAAGATTCTTGCGTGATCTGCGTAGTGGCAAAGTCAAGCAGATCTGCATACTCGTCGCTGAAGACGAGTATGTAACCGACATAAGGTCAGCAACAGTGTTTACTGAGAACGAGAGAGTTCTCAGTAGTTCATCTATGGACGAGAGTGTCCTAGATGAAAAGACACGAATTGAGCGATATGAGTCCCAATCATGGGAATCGCTCAAGGAAAATCCTCTCTATGAAGATTTGGTTGAATTCAAGGATGTATTCCCTGAAACTGTTCCGTGCGAATTACCGAAGGATAAAGGTATTCGACACGAAGTCGAGCTTAAACCAGGCTCGAAGTACTGTGTCATGAAGCAGTGGCCACTGCCTCGTGAACAAGTACTTGCGATCGACAAGTTCTTTGCCGATCGTTTAGCAGCGGGCCATGTGAGGGAATCAACTTCCCCACATAGCTCTCCGACCTTCTGTGTGCGAAAAGCAACAGGAGGGTGGCGGATAGTGCACGCGTTTAACAAATTGAACGCTGCAACGGTACCGGCTCAGACGCCGATACCGAGGAAGGACGTAATCATTGATGGTATGTCAAAGAGTACCATCTTTTCGTCCATGGATTTGATGGATGGCTTCTATCAAATCCTAATGCGGGAACGGGATATACCCTATACCGCAGTTAGCACGCCTAGCGGCATGCTCTGGGAATGGCTAGTAATGCCACAAGGGCTCAGTAATGCCCCTGCCACGTTCAACAGGTGTGTATCACATCTGTTGAGGCCAGTACGAGAATTCGCGCCGAGTTATTTCGATGACGTATTCATCCATAGTCGAGCTATGGATGGAAAGTCGGACGTTGAGGTTCACAAGTACCACGTCCGACAAGTTCTTACAATCATGCGAAAGCATCAATTGTATGCAAACCTCAAGAAGTGTATATTTGCAGCAAGCGAAATACCACTTCTTGGGTGCATCGTTGGTAAGAACGGTGTACGTCCTGATCCCGAAAAGATCAAGGCGATCACCGACTGGCCCGTGCCGGTCGATGTCAAAGGTCTTCGAAAATTCCTTAGCTAGCGGCGTATTTGCATAAGTATTCACGCAATTACGCCGAGATGACTGTACACCTCTCTCGTTTGTTGAAAAAGAACGAGAGGTGGTTATGGAACGCTGAATGTCAACGCCTTTGAGGGTATCAAGCAGAGCTTGATACAATCCCCAGTCCTAGCAATAGCCGATCAGGACAGGCCATTTCATGTGGTCTGTGATGCCAGCGATTTCGCAATCGGCTGTGCATTAATGCAGTACGACCTTGAAGGCGTTGAACGCGTCGTCTGCTATCAGTCGCGTCAGCTGCAACCAGCTGAGCGGAACTATCCAGTGCATGACAAGGAACTCCTTGCCATGAAGTATGCACTCGCGAAGTTCAGAGTCTATCTATTAGGAGATAGACCCTTCGTTGTTTACACTGACCATGCGTCCTTACGCACGGCAGTGAACAGCCCGCACCTTTCACAACGAATGGCGCGGTGGTTGTCATTCTTTGCAGAATACAACTTTACGGTCGAGTACAAACCAGGACGACTTAATGTCGTCGCTGATGCACTCTCACGTCGTCCCGACTTTGAAACAGTCGCGAAACCCAACAGTGAGACAGTCACTGTTGCGGTTATGACGTCCTCAGTTCCATCTACAACGTTGTATGATGATGTGAGGCGGGCATACGCCCAAGATGGTGAGATAGTGAAGTTGTTGTCACATCTCTCCCAACCATCTCGAGAATCGTTGAAACGATTGTCGTCTCGCGTATCGATCTGCATCAGATCGATACACTACTCGTAACGGTTTACTGTACTATACAGCCGTTTCTGGTGACACACCACGTGTTGTCATTCCAGATGATACTGATCTGCGTTTGCGGATCATGTTCGAGTATCACGATGCTCCTATAGGAGGACATCGTGGCCGAGAGAAAACATATCTCACGGTAAGTCGAGACTTTTACTGGCCCCGCCAGTATCAGTTTGTGCGAAAGTATGTTCGCGCATGCGAAGTCTGCCAACGAGTGAAGTCAAGTCCTTCACTGCGTGCACCTTTACAGCCTCTACCGGTTCCGGCTGAGTGCTGGGAATCCATCTCACGGATTTCGTCTTCGGGTTACCCAAAGACGCACGCGGGAATACGGGTATTCTCGTATTTGTTGACAGATTCAGCAAAATGGTACACCTTGTGGCTGTACCAGAGACAATCACGGCAAGTGGCTGTGCTTGTGTCTTTATTGACACCATCTTCCGACTTCATGGGTTGCCCCGTGAACTCGTATCAGACAGAGATCCACGATTCACTGCTGATTTCTGGCGTTCCGTGTTCAAATCACTCGGAACGCGCTTGAAGATGTCAACATCTGATCATCCAGAGTCAGATGGTCAGACGGAACGTGCCAATCGTGTCCTTGAAGAGATACTTCGAGGATACGTACACTCCTTTAAGAGTTGGAGTGAGTTTTTGCCGATGGTAGAGTTTGCCATCAACAACTCGGTGCATGCGTCCACGACACATACACCGTTTTACGTGAATGGCTTGCGCCATCCGCGTGTACCCACCTTACTAGAGTGTAACTCTGGTTTAAGGGGGGAGGGACTCGCGCGAGCAAAAACCGATTTGGTTCACGCTCATCACGCTCTGACGAAGAAGTCATTGCGTTTGATGCCGATATCGATAACATCGATATCGAAGAAGATGATGCCAGTGAGAGTGCGGAAGCCCTCACTGAAGACAATGATCCCAGTGAGAGTGCGGAAGCCCTCACTGAAGAAAAGGTTGTTGTCGCTGCAGTGCGCTCACAGCACACTGAAGCTAACGAGTCATCAGATGAGTTCATACTGGCTCGTGAAACGGTAGTCCGTTTTGTGCAAGACTCCATCGCCGAAGCGGTGGATAAGCAAAAGCAAAACGCTGACAAGAATGGAAGGGCAAACACTCTTTTATTTAATAAAGGTGACTTAGTCCTACTGTCTACGGTTAATCTACCAAAACATGTAGTGACTCAACTTGGGTAGCAGTAAACTACTACCCAAGTACATTGGCCCATTTCGTGTATTGCACCGCCTAGGCAATGCATACACGATCGAGTTACCACGTAAGATGCGAACGCATCCCACGTTTTACGTTGGTCGGCTTAAGCCGTACCATCAGTACGCTGCTTCTTCCGATGAAGAACGCCCTTGCGCTCAAGCATCTCGCAGAGAGCCTTGTGCTCCCGATGGTGGGCATCAACAAGGGTCTGAAGAGCAGTTATCTCAGCCCGAGACCGATCAACAATCCCACGAGCTACCCTTAGCTCGTCACGAAGAGATGTCAGAGATCTCTCGTTCTCAAGCTGAGCAAAGGCAAACTCAGCTCGATGCTTCGAGGCAGTGTCCACCATCTGGAGACGCCTATTCCGCTCATGCTCGAGATCGTCGCGTAACCCTTGCGTTACGCGATCAAAGAAGCTCTCGGGAACACACCGATCCACATGATCGTGTGGAGAGCGTCTTTCCTCCTCCTCCACCTCCATTAGAGGACTCTCGCGGTGGCCAGCGCTATCTAGTAGAGCAGCTGTTGAACCACCGCGACGTGAACGGACGTCGGACGAGTTACCTCGTCCGGTGGCGCGGCTATCCCCCGTCCTGGGATTCTTGGGAGCCCCGCTCCCAATTGATGGTTGACGTACTGGGTCTGGTCGAGCAGTACGACGCGACACATCCTGTGCCGCAGAAGGACCGCCGGAGAAAGTCTTCCCGGCACGGTCGTAAAGGGATTTCAGGTTGTCAATCCCTTCGTACATCTCAGTAGAGACACGTACGCGCCACCACGGGCTGGTAAGGAGGTAAGCCTCCTTAGGTGCTCGTGCAGAGTTGTTCACACAACATGGGCACGAGTCTCCCCAAGAGAGGCAGGGTAATCCTTTCTCCCTTGACAGACGATGCAGCTTGTAGCGTGCACCTGTCGGGGTTCGCTTTTCAAACTTATCACGAGCTTTGATAAGTTTGTCGTTCCAAGCGTCACGACCTACATCCTCGAGATTATGGATGTAGGCGTTCCACGCCTGAAGTAGTGAGGGACCATCACGTTTGTGATTCCCACTGTACCATCGATGTCTGAAGAAAGCATCGATGAAGAACTTCATGTTCAGCGCGATAGTCTTTCGCGCTGGGGTCAAGGTGATGAATCCTCGACGAATCGAACAATCGTGTTCGATAACGATCACTCGTCGTCGCCGACAAGTGATCCATGACAGATTTAGGAGGCATCCATGCCTTCTTTTCTGGAGCGAGACGCAACACATTGCGGTCCCGCTCTTCCTGCGACGTGCCGACAGAAGTACTGGCACTCGCTGTGAAGTGGTGTCCATTGGAGAAACGACACCACTATTAGCGCCCGAGTCTCGCGACCTCGAGCGCCTTCGCTTCGGCGATGGTTCATCTGACTCATCAGATGAACCAAAGATGCTGCGACGCAAAGCATCGTCCATGCCACGCTTGGCAGGCGGCTTGGATTCAATTGCCGTCGATACGGATCCGTCATCCGTATCAGGAGAGTACGAGACACCGAGCTCGTACTCTGTGAAGACACGAGTGTCTTCATGACCAGCGCCTGCATCACCAGGTGATACAGGCTGAGCCGATTCAGCAACCGATGGGACATCAGTTGCTGTAGTTTCTGCTTCGGCGTCCGCACAGAGACGTGCAGACGCGCTCTCGGCGGCCTTAGCTCGCGCATCGCATGGGCTTGTTTACCATGCGATGAGATGTTGGAAAGTGGACGCGGACCAACAAGTGCAAACCCCGTCCCAAATGATTTGGGACGAGTATCCATTTAGTCAATCAGTCACTAAAGTGACTGATGGTTAAGGGGGGGTGATGTAACGGGGTGAATCGTTACATAACAATTTATAAGAAATTGTTAATAGAATATAACTATAAGAGTTATATTCTCAGAATATTGTCATAAGGACAATATTCTGTAGCACTTCCAAGTAGTTCCTAATTGGTTGATATAGGCCATTATATCAACCAACGAAGACGCGCCACGACAGACGCACGCAATGAGTGGTGAGCAGATAACTGATTTACACATTTGTATTTAGACATAGTTAGATGAAGATAAATAGTGATTTATTGCAGACATTAACTATTATAAATACAGTTCTACTTTTTACTCTAACCAAGTACTCGCTTCTTCTTACCGTCTTCCTCTGCACGTACGAGTGTACGTGAAGTTACGAGGCACCGCCTTATTCTGTTATCAGAATAAGTAGCTTGTACTGTCACCAGTACAAGCTTCAGGGTGCCCCGTTACACCGGTGGCTTTCTTCACACAGAAAGTCGGACTCGAATGTGGCGATATGCTTTCGCGGACGTGTCCTGCCTTACGGCGGCCCTAAAAAAATTCATCAATTGCAATGACTTGGTCACGCGGTAGCGGCCACTGCCGCGTCACGCAATACTTCGATCCTGGCACGAGATCGATCTCGTGTCGCACACCACGATCCGCTGGAAGCTCAGCGGGGATATTCTCCGGAAAGATGTCGGCATACTCACGCGCGATATCGTAGACAGGGTTGCCCAAAGCAAGAAGGGCTTCCCGGGACTGTGTTTCGAAACGTTCTTCGCGCGCTGATTTGGGCTCGGCGCTCTTTGGGCGAGCCTCCAAAACTTCTTATGTAGCTGATTCGGCGGTAGATATGATGCACACTTGCTCGATGTCACCGACCTTGAGGGCATGGAGAAAATCTTTCCATGGTAGGGCTGATAGAGATGTGATCTCAGCAGCAGTGCACGGAGGGCTCGCTACCTCAATGTAGCGACCGCGATGTGGAGAACCTTCCACATATTCGAGCGCTCATACGGATTCCGTCACTACGGCATCATCGTCAACGGCGCTTGAGCGAGAATTTCGTCGTCTTGGTGATCGGCGTGCACCTTTCTTGCGTTTACGCTTTCTCTTGCGTCTTGAGCCACTGCTCGAGGCTAACACATCGCTATCGCTGGAGAATGACATACCCCTCGCTAGACTTGTTGGCCCAGTCACCACCATGTTGTTCACATTTAAGTCCACAGCCCGTCCATTCTTGTCAATAAGAGGCGGGAGCCCGTAGTCGACCGCCTTAGATGTATGTGGGAGCCTCTGCTCGACCACCTCGGTTACAATCGGGAGCCTCTGCTCGGCCGTTGTGTGTGTATGCGGGAGCCCCTGCTCGACCGCCTCGCTAGAACTCGGGAACCCCTGCTCGACCGAAGTCCGTGTGTGCGGGAACCCCTGTTCGACCGCCTCGTTGTGAATCGGGAGCCCCTGCTCGACCGATGTCCGTGTGTGCGGGAACCCCTGTTCGACCGCCTCGTTGTGAATCGGGAGCCCCTGCTCGACCGATGTTTGTGCATGCGGGAACCTCTGCTCGACCGCCTCGTTATGAATCGGGAACCTCTGCTTGACCGATGTCTGAGTTCGCGGGAACCTCTGTTAGACCGCCTCGTGTTGTGGCTCTATCAGTGTGACTGAACTTACCGGACACAGAGGGTCATCGTCATCTCTGAGCTGACTTCTAGTCGTGGTGAGTTTGTCCACGACCCTGACGTGGGGCCACTCAGATGACGCAACTAACAAATGAGTAAAAACTTCACTCACATCGTATCCACTTCGTCGTTTGACGGATCGAGATAGCCAATCTATCGTCGGCTGGTATCGTGACAGCCACGGTATCCCAAGATGCAATCAAATGCGTACTTCATCTCGTACACCCATAATTCATTATTGCTTCGAAAACCGTCACGTATACGACAAACTACTGTTTTGCGCGGGACACGCTGCGTCTTTCCGTCAGCAAGTTTGACAACGATGTCACCCGCACCTTCTCGAACCGTAATCTTAGACAGGAGAACGATCAAACATGATGCTCGAAAGCATTTGCTGGATGCAACTGAATCCAACAACGCTCGGAGTGGTTGCGTCACTCCAGCAACGATGAGACTGATGATGATCAGTCTCGAATCGTCACGCGTGGTGGTGGCGTTGAAGTGAGTATGAATCACTTTAAGGCTTGGAGATCGAGTCGCCACCGGATTATTCGTGGCTCCATTCCTGCCTGTAGGGCGCCCCAAGCCTACTGGAACCTCTCGTTTTTTGGCGGGACCACCGACGACACCGTATCTCCACGGGAGACAGCTGTGTTCATGGACACCGGCGCAGGTGCTCGGCAAACGGTCGCACGATGGCCTGTCTTGCGCACCAAAAACACTTTATCTTGTTTTGAATACGAATGTTGCGGCTAAATAGATTGTTGCGACCACGTGATGTCTCAATCGCATCAATTTTCATGGGCTCTGGGCCAGACATACGCGGAAGTTGCGACGCTGCATGCAAGTATGACGACGCGACCGTGTAATCTTCACGAAGCGCGAGGGCAAATTCCTCCTTGAGAGTCTTCGGTTCAGCACGTGTGAGGCAATAACGCGTCATGCCCTCCTGCATACTGAAGACAAAGACATGGACTTGTGAGGCCATGTCGATCGGCTGGGCGGTAATACACGACACAAGATGTCGCGTCTTCTGTACGTAGTCACGCATCTACAGCTTGCCCTGTCGAAATCTAAAGAAGTCTTCACGCAAGCGTGACTCATCTTGAGAGGGTTCGAACGCCAGTCGTAAGTCGCGCTGATCTCGTCCAGCGTGGGGAACGCCAACTCGTCGACGACGAGTTTCCCAAGGGCTCATTCTTTGGCTTTGCCGACAAGCCGTGATAGCAGGAAATTAACCTTGGCCGTCGGAGCGTCAATCAACCTTGACGCTATCGCGATATCAATCTCCCGAAGCCAGCGATTAAGACGGAGACGTTCTGGGCCATCACCCGAGTACGTGGACGTCTTCATTTTGATCGCATCATGATGGGAGGTGCGCGAGGGAGTGTACTCGCCGATTCGCTTCGGTAAGCTCGCGCACCATGTAGTCTTGGATGGCGGCACGGTGTTGTTCGGGCGTCGCTGTGCTCAGCAGCGACGTTACGAAGATTTCACCAGACACCGCCGCGCGGTGGTGTCATGCCTGCCGTTCCGCAGTAGTGAGATGGGGAAAATCTGCATGCTCCAGCGAAACTGCTGGAGCCATCGAAGATTCACTCATATCCATCTCGTACTTGGTCATGGGAAGGACTACTATGTGCTACCAGGTGTAACGGGGTAAGAGCCCGTTACCGTCTTACACTATTAAGCTTTGAGGAAGCGCTGTTCTTGTGTAAGTAAGGTAACATTAACTCTGTTTATATTTTTGTGTTTTTATAATTCGCAGTAAGTGCGAATATGTTCCCTAGCTCATGGGAACCACTCAAATACAGAACTAATTATTATTGGCTAATTATTGGGTCTGGCACCCCAATAATAAACCAATAATAAATAGACGCGCAGTATCCGCTATCCGGATACTGCCTACACTTAATGTATGTAATTATGTAATAAAACTATGACTACTTAATATAATGGGTTGCCCCATTACAAGATAGCCTTGCTACAGCAGCAAGGTTCTCATCATTCGATGGGCGGGCCGACGCACATGTGTCAGCCCGAAAACTTGATGATTGATATCTCAAGGTACAAGGGAACGGATGAAGATTCTCTTTTGAGATGGTTCGTCGAGTTAGACGGTGCCATCAGAACCCGTCACATCAAGGGTGACGAGATTCAAGTCACCTTCGCCCTGTCAAATTTGACGGGAAGAGCAAAGTCTTGGGCCTTAGGGCTCAAGCTTCACGACCCAAACATGTTTGAGTCCTAGGAGATCTTGAAGTCTCGGCTTAAAGAGACGTTTGAGCCGCCGAGAGCCGAGTTCATAGCACTCTCTACACTCTTGAGGCTAAAGCAAGGTAAGCGTGACGTGCACGCTTACGCACAGCGCCTGCAATACCTTGCGAGTAGCGTTACGAAGAACCCTGTTGATAAGCACACGCTCATCAACGTGTTCATCTACGGCCTTGTAAATGAGCCGGTGGAGACCTACATGCTCCAAGAGGACTTCCATACGCTGAAAAAGCGATAGCGTATGCGGAACAAAGACTTCAGTCTGATACAGTCCCAGGCTAACTCATCAAACTATCGTCCGACGAGACGACAGGAAACAGGAGGTCCCGAACCGAAAAACCTCTGTTACATCGAGAGCGAGAACTATCGCTCTCTGAGTCACAAGCGAACGGCAAGATGCCACCGCTGTCAGAAGATTAAATACTACGCTCATGAGTGTAGTGTCCCGAGCACCGCAACACGTCCAAAGACAGGATGTGATGACCGCCGTTGGCCAAGGAAAGGTCCAAGGCGTGGGTCGGACCATGTCGCTAAACAGCGACAGCAAGTCGGGCCGTCAAAAAACGGATAGGGTCAGTAGGGGCGGAGCACCCTGCTGATCCAGCAACGTCAAGGGAATTTTCAGGACTCTTGAAGAAGATTGCTCCCAACACACAGTCGCTGTGTGTTACTGCCCTTAGGAGTCTCTCATCACTTTGAAGATCGAAGTGACAAGTGGAATGTCACTTCGCGCCCTAGTTGACTGTGGGGCGTCGAACAGTTTCATTCGACGCCAGTCACTAGAGGATAGTAAACTCAACTATGTTGAGCGAGAGATCCCTCCAACGAGGATGACCGTGTGCCTTGCTACAGGCGCATCCGTAACAGTGAACAAGCGTGCAGTGTGAATCCACTACACGCTAGAAGGAAAACAGTACGATGATGACTTCATCGTACTAGATTTGGATGACAAATTTGGTGTCATCCTCGGTCTGCCATGGCTTAGAAAATACCAGCCATGGGTTAGCTGGCAGCATCGATCCGTGAAGATGCCTGCCGTTTGTTCATCGGATGGCCATCTGATGAATGTCTTGGATCGTCCACAAGCATGTGGATGTACTACGAGTGAGTGCGATGGCCTCACTTGTGGTACGGTCGTTAGTACTATTGCGCAGTGTAGAAGGCCACTGCACTGTGGAACCAGCCTCCGGCAACTGTGTAGAGACACATGATGCGCCGAAGGTTCACCACTCGAAGAGATCTAGTGGACTGGAACACGGATGCACACCAAGAAGGGTTCATCCGAGAAGAAAAAGTAGTGTTGTTCAGAATGGACAACACATTGAAGCAAGATCGACTATCAGAGAGTCGATCGTAGAGCAAGCCCGCTCAACTGAAAGAGAGTCGATCGAAGAGGACGCGACCGTGATAGTACACGTAACGAAAGAAAATTCGGGCGTTCCTGAGAGCAATAACTCCCGAGAGAGTTACGTTGAGGGTGTGGATCCCCAACCACCTGCGGATGTGTTTTCTCAGGAAAGCACCGAGACAGTGAATGTCTTGGTCAATGACGGATCAATAGTAGGCGCTTATACACTTGATCTGGTCACACCTCCGAAGTCATCTTCGGAAGTAATCAAGTTGCCAACGCTAGAATCTAAAAGATTCTTGCGAGATCTGCGTAGTGACAAGATCGAGCAGATCTGCGTACTTGTCACAGAGGACGAGTACGTCGCCTATATTCGGTCGGCACAATTGTTTTCTGAGAGCGAACGGGTTCTCAGTAGCTCATCTATGTACGAGAGTTTCCTCGATGAGAAGACCCGGATTGAGCGTACACGTCTCAATCTTGGGAGTCTTTTCAGACAAATCCTTTGTTTAAGAATTTGGTGAATTCAGAGATATTTTTCCTAAATCCGTGCCATGCGAGCTGCCTAAGGACAAAGGCACTCGACATGAGATCGAACTGATACCCGGTTCGAAATACTGTGTCATGAAGAAATGGCCACTGCCTCGTGAACAGGTCACAGCGATACAAATTCGTTGCTGATCGTTTAGCGGCTGGTCGTGCGAGGGAATCAACATCCCCGCACAGCTCTACGACCTTCTGTGTGCGAAAGGCCACAGGAGGGTGGCGGATAGTGCACGCGTTCAACAAATTGAACGCTGCAACGGTACCGGCTCCAACGCCGATCCCAAGAAAGGATGTCATCATAGATGGTATGGCAAAAAGTACCATTTTTTCATCCATAAATTTGATGGATGGATTCTATAAGATCCTCATGAGTGAACGGAATATACCTTACACAGCAGTGAGCACCCCCAGTTGTATGCTCTGAGAGTGGCTAGTGATGCCACAGGGGCTAAATAACGCCCCCGCAACGCTCAACAGATGTGTCACGAATCTGTTGCGATCGGTGCGCGACTTTGCACCGAGTTACTTCGACGATGTCTTTGTTCATAGTCGGGCTATGGATGGAAAGACGGACGTGGAGGTTCATTGAATCCATGTACGGAAGGTTCTTACTCTAGTGCGAGAGCCTGAGTTGTTCGCGAACCTCAAGAAGTCATCTTTGCAGAGAACGAGATACCACTTCTTGGATGCATCGTTTGTAAACACGGCGCTTGCTGATCCAGAAAAGATCAAGGCGATTAGCGACTGGCCTGTGCCAGTCGACGTCAAGGGACTTCGAAAGTTCCTTGGCTTGGCAGCGTATTTGCACAAATACTCGCGCAACTATGCTGAGATGACTGTACATCTCTCTCGTCTATTAAAGAAGAACGAGAGGTGGTCATGGAGCGCTGAGTGTCAGCACTGTTTTGAAGGCATCAAGAAAATCTTGGTGCAATCGCCTGTGTTGACGATTGCAGATCAGGATTGGCCATTTCATGTGGTCTGTGACGCTAGCGATTTTGCAATCGGCTGCGCGTTAACGAAGTACGAATCAGACGGCGTTGAGCTCTTCGTCTTTTATCAATCGCATCAGCTGCAAGAAGCTGAGCATAAAAACCCGGTGCATGACAAGGAACTCCTTGCCATGAAATATGCACTGGCCAAGTTTCGGGTATATTTCTTAAGGAGGTAGGCCCTTCATCGTTTATACCGACCATGCGTCGTTACGCACGGCCGTAAACAGTCCACACCTCTCGCAACGAATGGCGAGGTGGCTGGATTTCTTCGCGGAGTACAACTTCTCCGTCGAATAAAAACCAGGACGACTTAATGTCGTCGCTGATGATCTTCGCGTTGGCCCGATTTTGAGCCGGCTGCTCAACCCAACAGTAGGGGTGATCCCACTGTTGCTGCACTAACAGTGAGTGTTCCGTCGTCGAATCTGCTCGATGACGTGCGAAAAGCATATACAGAAGATGAGTCTCTTCTGCGATTGATGGATTACGTATCCAATCCGTGTAATCAAGATTTGAAAAGCTTGACGTCTCAATACCGCTCTTCAATCGAACGGTATTCGGCTCGTGATAAACTGCTGTACTATACAGCAGTCAACGGCGACACACCTCGTGCAGTCTTTCCTGCTCATGATGATTTGCGATTACGCATCATTTATGAGTGTCACGATGCCCCACCAAGAAGGCATCGCGGTAGAGACAAGACTTACCTCACGGTGAGTCGTGACTTCTACTGGCCCCGCCAGTATGAGTTTGTGCGGAAATACATTCGCGCTTGCGAAGTTTGTCAACGGGTGAAGCCTAGTCCTTCATTACGTGCACCCTTGCAGCCTCTTCCGATTCCGGCAGAGTGTTGGCAGTCCGTATTGATGGACTTCGTCTTCGGGTTTCCGAAGTACGTTCACAAGAATACTGGTATTCTTGTGTTTGTTGATCGGTTTAGCAAGATGGTACATATTGTTGCTGTGGGAGTCAATCACAGCCCAGGGCTGTGCGCGTGTCTTCATCGATACTATCTTCCGACTTCACGGGTTACCCCGTGAACTCGTGTCCGAAAACAGACCCCCGCTTCACAGCGGAGTTCTAACAATCCATTTTCCGTTCACTTGGAACACGTTTGACGATGTCGACTTCTGACCATCCTGAAACAGATGGTCAAACAGAACGCGTCAACCGCGTTCTCGAAGAGATACTTCGAGGATATGTCCACTCGTTTACGAGCTGGAGTGAGTTCTTGCCGATGGAGGAATTCGCCATCAACAACTCGGTGCACGCGTCGACAACGGATACACCGTTCTTCGTGAATGGCCTAAGCCATCCACGTTTACCCGCCTTCTTAGAGTGTGACTCTAGTTTAAGGGGGGGGTGGACTCGCTCGAACACAAACGGATCTAGTTCTCGCTCCTCACCCGTCGAAAATGGTGTCGACACGATGGATGCCGATGGGATCGAAATCGATGAAGACGATGACGACGATGCTGGCATATTCAGAATCGCCAGTGACCACCAAAGTGAGGACGATGATACCCTCACTGGTGAAGACAACGTTCTTTCAGTAGTGCACACGAAGCGCACTGCTGTTGACAAGGATGAATCAGCAGAGGAATTTCTGCTGACTCGCGAAGCGGTTGTCCGCTTCGTTCAAGACTGTATTGCGGATGCACTAGGTAGACAGAAGAAAAAAAGGCAGACAAAAATGGAAGAGCAAACGTTCTTTCATTTAACGAAGGGGGTTTAGTTTTATTGTCTACAGTAAAAATCTACCAAAACCCGCAGTGAAAAACGTGGGCAGCAGTAAATTACTGCCCAGGTATATCGGTCCATTTCGTGTGTTGCGCCGAATGGGCGACGCATTTACTATTGAACTAGCCCCATAAGATGCGCACGCACCCTACGTTTTACGTTGGTCGTCTCCGCCCGTAATATCGGTGCGAGCCCATTTCGAGAGGCGAAGAACACCTCCGCGGTCAAGGGCCGAGACCACCCTCGATTATTCCCGTTTCAACGATCCAGTCTGGTCGACTATCGAAGCGAACTCCTCACGCAGCTCAGCGATGTCCAAACGAGCTGCAGTCAGCTCGTCACGAAGCGAAAGAACTGAACGTTCGTTCTCAAGTTGAGCAAACGTATAGCGGCATGATCGTTCGAATGATCGTGCGCTAGGGAATTGTAATCAGCCCTTACAAGATCCTCAAGCCTATAACGCCGAGATCGTTCATGGGCCAGGTCATCTTGCAAGTGTTCCGTTGGACAGTTTCGTTCCTGAACATCAAGCTTATCCGACCTTCGAGCCGGATCAGGTGTTTCCACCGCCACCACATCTTTTGGTGGACTCAAGCGGTGGTCAACACTTCCTAGTGGAGAATATTTGAACCACCGCGATGTGAATGGCGTTCGGACGAATTACCTCGTCCGCTGGCGTGGCTATCCACCGTGGGACAGCTGGGAGCCTCGTGCCTAGCTGATTGTTGATGTCCTTGGTCTCGTCGAGCAGTACGACGAGACCCACCCGCTGCGTTTGAAGAAGGGCCGTCGAAAAACGACCTCTCCGAACGCGAGTAAAGGGATTGCATAGTGTCGATCCCTTCGGCCATCTCGGAAGAGATGCGCGCCCTCCAGTAGGGATCATTAGGGAGGTAAGCCTCCCTAGGGGCACGGTTCGAGTTGTCCAGACAACCTGGACACGAATCACCCCACGAGAGACAAGGTAACCCTGCCTTCTTGAAAGCCGGTGCAACTTGTATTACGCCCCGACAGGGTTGCGTTTCTCAAACCTGATGCGAGCTGCATCAAGTTTTGGCGAGCCAAGCCTCACGGCCAATACACTCGATTTTGTGGATGAGAGCATTCTATCCTTGCACAAGGCCTTACCGTCTCGACTGCGATTGCCATTGCCATTGTACCCCCGATGTTTGACGAAAACACATCGGTAAAGAACTCTTCCGCAGCACGGATAGTTTCCGGGCTGGAAATAAAGAGGACAGATCCTCATACAGTGGAACACGGGACTCGATCTCGTTCAGTGGTCATACCGGTCACTCGATCTAACTCTTTGGATGAAGGCATCCAAGGAGACTCCAATTGAGGAGCGTGGCGCAGGACATTTTTTTCGGTCCCTGGCCTCTTGATTGGTGCCAGCATGAGCATTGACACCAGTGGCAGCTCGATCCCTCGAGTTACTTCGCTCGTGGTGATGTATAGGTGCATCACCACCATCTCCACGCGTCATATCGTCAGATTTACTTGCGTGAGGCGAGGATTCATCAGAAGAATCACTCGATTCGAAGATCTCGGTCATGATGCTGCCGCGCAGACCAGAGCCAGTCAGTCTGGCTTTTGCAGCGTCCGCCCCAGATGATACGGAGGCGTGAGGAGTCGCCATTCGAGTCGGATGCATCATCCTACTTGCCGGAATAGATGAGCTCTATCTCAGATTCGTCTTGATTACGATTCGAGGTACCCGCTGCAGACGCAACGGATGTACCTGTCGCACGTGGTGACTCACCACGTGGAGGAATTACGACAACAGGCGACGAATCGCCTGCTGCTGAGGCGTGAGAGGCACTTTCCGCGGCCGCACGCATGCGTGCAGCCGCTCTTTTTGCTGCTGCAGTAGCAGCTTGCGTGGTTTTTGAAACCATGCCTTGGATTGGCAAATGAATGGAATACGACCAACAAGTGCTCCCTCACCAGAGTGATCCAACGGTGGTCACCCTTTCCCATTCATTTCTAATTCAATCAGCTGGTGATTGATGGTTAGGGGGGGTGATGTTACGGGGTAGCCCGTTACATGAAATTGACACCAAACGGTGTCAATAGGAAGATTGTCTAGCGTGACAATTCCCGGCCGATATTATCCGAGATGGATAGTATTGAAGGAACATTACCCCTTCAGATAATATTCATGCGCTGCTCCAAGATTGGTTGATACAAGACATATCAACCATAGATTATCACCAATCCTGCTAGACGCGCGCAATGAGTGGTGAGCAAGTCGTCGTCATACGACGGCGTAGTTTGATATAGTTGGATAAGATTAAAGCTGTAGTGATAGCTTAACAATATTGAACGCAGTTCTCTTTTTACCCTTTACTCAAACTATCTGTTTGAGTAGTTTAGCTTCCTCTGCACGTACTAGTGTACGTGAAGTTTCGCGGCACCCCAAACAAAGGGTGCCCCGTTACAGCTCCCCTATCTTATTGTGATATATAATGTGTTTCTCAAACATCGTACTCACACTTGATATCGGACTCATGTGAATTACCGAGTAACGGGCCCACCCCGTTACGTTACACGTCGTCATTACCCGGCCGTAAAGCAAGTGTGCTGCTGGATTTCAGTATTGGATTCTACTCGGCAGAGAAGTTATAGTTGCTGTTAGGATATAGAATTCTCTGTGCAAGTGCGTGTTATTTGTGGCTTTCACGAACAAAATTACCGGAGATGGAGTTGCGGAAAGAAATTTAAACATCAGCAAGTATTTCCACAAACTTACACATCATTGGTTTCAGGTGCTGTCCCGATACGCCCGTCAAGATAGGCGTGGTCACCCGCATCTTACAAGTACGGGTTCATGTTTCGGACTCGATCATGTCGAATGCTATCTCGTAGTTGTGCTGGTGAATACGAAGTCTGCATGAACACTACGGACGTAAACCTTGCGTTGGTTAATTCCGAACTCTACAGCTAAGCTGGCTGGTTCCAGACCGTGCTTCAGTCTACACCATTCTGCTTCATCTATTCGAAGCAGAGGATTAACGCGCAGTTGACGCACTGCTGCCTAGTCGTGAACTACTCAGCCACCAGTTCACTTGCAGCTTTCTATATTTTTGGCTCTTAGACGCTCTGTGCGTCATAACGTGGCACCATCCGGGATGTACACGTCTTAGCCTCTTTCTAGCAAACAAAGGTTTGACTACATCTCCAGTGAGAAAAAAAATGTAATGTTGCAACTTGCCACATCCTCTCATGAGCGCCACGGATTCTCAAACGTCGGCTCCTATGCTGCATCTTTACATAAGTAACAAAACTTACACACTCGACAACAGCTCCACAGTCAAAATTGAGCAGGATGATACCACACAGCTCGCAGCAGCTCGAATAGAGCTACAGAGACATGCCTCCTTAAAAGCCTGCTGTATCATGCTTACGAATGACACGAACGTGCCGTTCGATCGGAGATCCTAGATTAGTATCCTAATTCAGGATCTCCGACCACGAATCTCGAGCCAAGTCAGTAGCAACATAACAACCGTCCTTCAGTTGCTCGTCATCCACACCAGCTCCCATGTCAACCCACCCAATCACTGGACCCGCTCGCGTGCCCGTCCTCCACCTATCGCCACTGACGCCACTTGATCGCGCGCAGACCAGAAGGGACCAACCATGACAACCCCCGACGCCTCGAGCGTGAAACAGCCGACGTGGTTTCCTCCGCGTCCCATCGATGGCTTGACCGAGTACTGGGCGACGCACTACCCCCTGCGTCTGTACAACAGCATGACACGCACGAAGAATGCATTCGTACCTATGCGGGGCAAGCGCGTGCTCTGGTACATGTGCGGCCCGACAGTGTACGACCAGACGCACTTGGGCCACGGTCGCACGTACACGTGTTTCGACTATGTGCGCCGCATCCTCGAGGAGTACTTTGGACTGGAAGTCGAGCTCGTGATGAACATCACGGACATTGACGACAAGATCATCCTCCGAGCCGCTGAGACTGGTTGGTTGGAGGCTCATGTCGGCAAGGAGCTGCCCACGAATAAGGACGAGAAAGCCAAGCTCGTGATGGAGTGGGCGGCCCAGCAGCCTGCTGAAGGCAACATGCGCCGCACGCGTGAGCTGTCCAAGTTTTGGGAAAAATCGTTTCTGGACGATATGGCGGCATTAAATATCAAAACACCCACGGTCATTACTCGTGTGAGTGAGTATGTGCCTGAGGTGGTGGAGTTCGTGAACGGGATTATCAACAATGGCTTTGCTTATGAGAGCAATGGGTCCGTGTACTTTGACACGATGGCTTTTGGTAAGTCAAAGGGTAAGGCGTACGGCAAGCTGCTGCCGGAGAATGTTGGGCAGTCGGAGCTGCTTGCAGAAGGTGAAGGTGCGCTGTCTGCTGGACCGACAGACAAGCGCAACGTGAGCGATTTTGTGTTGTGGAAAAAGTCCAAGAGCGGCGAGCCATTTTGGTTGTCGCCGTGGGGTGAGGGGCGTCCGGGGTGGCATATTGAGTGCTCGGCGATGGCGAGTGATGCGTTGAAGCACCTTGCTGGCGGCAAGATCGATGTCCACTCTGGTGGCATCGACTTGCGCTTTCCGCATCACGATAATGAAATTGCGCAGTCAGAGGCGTATTTCGATTTCTCGCAGTGGGTCAACTACTTCGTGCACACGGGCCACTTGAACATTGAGGGCTTGAAAATGTCGAAAAGCCTGAAAAACTTTGTAAAAATACAGGAAGCGCTGTTGGACAACTCACCGCGTCAGCTGCGCTTCCTGTTCTTGCTCCATAAGTACAATGTGCCTATGGACTATAATGATAACTCGATGGACGAGGCTGTGGGTGTTGACCGTTTCTTTACGGAGTTTTTCGCCAACGTTAAGGCGCGGCTCCGTGAGCTAGGTGTCGAAAAGACGCAGAAGTGGACGTCCGTAGAGAAGGCGCTGCATGGTGCTCTGCTTGAATGCAAGGAAAAAGTGTTCACTGCACTGAGCGACGACATTAACACGCCGTTGGCACTACTGCATCTACAGCAGTTGGCCAAGGAGGTCAATCGTTACATGGCGGGAGACACTGACAAGCAGACTTCCATGTTGATTCGTGCCAGCGCGGAATACATCACGCGTATTCTATCGGTGTTCGGACTCACCACGTCAGCCACGGACATTGGCTTTCCGCTCAGCTCAGGTACCACTGGTGGTGCTGACCAAGAGACTGTGCTCACGCCTGTGTTAGACATTTTTGCACAGTTCCGTGACAAAATCCGCGAGGCTGCACGCTTTGCAGCTGCAGAAGGAGATGATAAGAATTTGGCTAGCGTGGTGCTGCGTCTGTGCGACGTGGTGCGCGATGAGAAGCTACCGTATGCTGGTGTACGTCTGGAGGATCGCTCTGCTGGCGCTGCTGTGTGGAAGTTGGCCAATAAAGACGAGCTGCTTGAGGAGATTGAGAAAAAGAAGCAGGAGAAGATCAAAAAGGAGGAACTGAAGCGCCAGCGATTAGAGGACGAGGCGCGCAAAAAGGCAGAGCTTACTGAAAAGGCCAAAATTTTGCCGAGCGATATGTTTCTGGAAATGAAAGACAAGTACTCCAAATTTGACGACAATGTGAGTGTGACGATGGCTGGTAAGTGCTTGGATCGAATTAGTCATGTACTGATTTGTGGTTTTTGCTTTCGTATAAATGCTAAGGGTCTGCCGACGCATGATGTCGCTGGCGAGCCGTTGAGCAAGGGTCAGACAAAGAAGTTGGCCAAGGAACAAGCGAAGCAAAAGGCGCTATACGAGAAGTACACAACAAATTAGATGGAGAAGAATAGAATGGCATTTGGCTATGACGAAGTGAGTTGCATGCCTTTTTTCGATGTTTTCACGATATTTGTTAATGTGGTTCTTCCTCACTCGTAAATTCGTTGGTACGATAGAGGTATCTGTCGATCTGTCGGATGAGACTATTAACTGCATCAGCGTCGTGACGTGTTACCACCAGAAAGGCAAGCGGATGACCCCAGCGGCTTCACGATAGAAAGACCGCCCATAGCACGAATGGCGCACCTGATACTGTTTTTACAAATCGGTAAAACTGCTGCGACACAATCAGGTCAAGATGCTATATGATCTGATACAACGCGACTGTCCGAGGAGTGAACGCTTCGGTGGAGCCATTGCACACTGATATTGTGTTCGTGCTGTCGACCAAATCAAGCGAGATGCGATTGTTCCACACGGGTATGTACGGCTTTGGTAGAAACCCAAAGATTCTTAGTGGTCGAGGGACGAATCAGCGATGGTGCAGTATTGGCCAGACCTACCCGCTGTGTGTATTCCACCAGCTACCATTGTGTGCACCTCAGCTAGCCCGAAGAAGGAGAACGGATCATCTGCGACTAATGTTGCATTCAAGTTTAAGGAGTTATGATAGCTAAGACCCAAGGAGGTGAGCGGTGTCACATCGACAAGAACTAGGGCTTACCTACCGATATTTTGACAGCGGCACACATTTGGTACGATACGAAGTTCACAATGGAATGAGCATCGCCCAACAGGCACGTTGCTACGACACGAACAGTGCGTAAGGTAAGAGTCAGGGACCAAGAGCCTTCTCAGTTACTTAGGTCAGTTCACAAAATAACTCGCCACGTTGCAGTTCCTCGCATCAACAGTTCAGAAGTTCGATAGGAAAAGCGATAGAAGTGCAACGAAATGATGTGGCGTTTGTCTGACTACCGCGTGCTCTTGGACAAAAATGTTTGAAAAGCTGTGATCACTGCCCGACTGTAATTTGACATTGTCAAGGTGTTTGACCATTGGCTGCAAATCATTTCTCCCGTTGCCAGCAGTACAAGCCCGTCTGTTCAGACCACCTACGAGTCGTCCCCGCGAACTCTGCGGTTACGTTCCCCACATCGAAATGAACGGGCTCCCCCAGTCCCCGAAACGTGTCAATTTTCAGCTCATTCGAGGCATTAACGCCATCTCCGCCAATACTTTAGCCAAGACCAATGGCCGTGTCTTTGCCCACATCTGTGCCAACCAAAAGGTCACCCGAGTCCAAACGCCATCCGTGCGCTCAGCCAAGAAATGGTGCTCGGTCGATTTCGTTCCCACGCCGCTGCCATCTGCCAAGACCAAACGCAACAGCATCAAGACTGCTCGACTCCGCAAGTCCATCACGCCTGGTACGATCCTTATCCTGCTATCCGGACGCTTTCGCGGCAAGCGCGTCGTTTTTCTCAAGCAGCTTCCGTCGGGTACGCTCCTGGTCACGGGGCCTTACAAAGTGAACGGTGTCCCGCTGCGTCGCGTGAACCAGTCCTTTGTCATTGCTACGTCGACACGGATGGACCTATCGGACATTCAGTTACCAGAGATTGATGATTCATACTTTACCAAGGACAAGCTGGCCAAGAAGAACAGCAGGGAAGAGTGTTTCTTAGTGGCACAACAATCGCGGATACGTTGCGAGGTGAAAGGGCATCGTGCGGTGTGTGTGGGAGAGGGTCTTTGTACACAGCCAATTGCGTGGCTGTGGGGCTGGAAAGCGGGCGTAGAGCTCACTAATCCGTTCATCTTGTCAAAATACGTTCTGTTCTCGACCCATTGACCTGACGGCGAACGTGTGTGATGCAGATATCACCGCCTGTGATTGCAGAGCAGCGCAAGAAAGACCAAATGGCAGTGGACGCTCTGCTGATGCAGAAACTAGCAAACGAACCTTATCTGCGCGCGTACCTGAACGCCAAGTTCACGCTGACTAAGAACGACCGTGTTCACGATATGCGCTTTTAAGTGTGCTTGTAAGTTGCACCGGGTAACCCTCGTTTCTTAAGTGGACCGGCTGGTTGATGCAATGGCGTTGATATAGCGAGATAGGTTACAAAGTAACTTGGTCAAGCACAAGTGTGTTTGACGCGCCTGTTCATCACGAGATCTGCAGGAGGGGATCAATGCAGGGTCAGTTGTCTGCTCAGGTGTCCCGTGAATGCACGCCAAGCATGACACACGAGCGCTTCGTCGGTCTCGAGAGCCTGTGATAGCGAATGGAGTAGCTCAGGTACGTTATCCGTCTTTGTTGTCGAGTAGCAATCTACTTCATCTGCCCGCTCGTGGCGTTACTATTGTTACTACTGGAGCAATGCCGATCATCTTCAACTACGGACACGCTCACACGTGTCAAACGAAAGGTTAGTCGGTACAGTCAGCTGTAGTGCAAGCTACGGCCATCCATTGCTCACTTTATACCTACGGTGGGCAACTGGCAGCTTTTACGTCGGTGCGCCTTTGTGAGCAGCTTCGATTTGCGGCTGTTAGTCTTGGATAAAGCACGCTGCAAAATAGCGTTCTTTATATCCGCAAGATGGGGTCAAAAATAGATACTCCAAATAAATCGGAATTTCGTCGTTCTGGGGAACCCAAGTCGGACCAAAGTGATGATACGAAACCAGAGGTGGCTCGTTCATGTCACTGCTTGCCCTAGCCTCGTTTTGTCGCTGAAACGTCTGAGGGACGAACAACTGATTGGCAGCATCCCGTAAACATTGAAGGGGCGACAGCTGGATAGCTCATTGAAGTCCATCTGGATATCCTTCCCATATTATGAAAACCTAGAAAATACCTCACAAATCGAATGACAGATGAATCTACTCTACACAATTGTCTTTCCAAATGCTTGGTATAAAAAGGTTAGTGTCGGCTACTTAATCGATGACAGCTAGTCTTCCCATTAAATACCCCTGCATCTCCAACTGCATCGGATAAACTAGATTTATAACCGCTTTTAAATATTATTTCACTTTGGTCTCTTCGTAACGTTACGCAAAAAGAGACTTGCGTAGGTCACGCAAGAGATCTACCACCAACTGAACAATCAATCGATCAGTCAGTCCGTCAGTCACCACTTCCTATTGCACCACCAACCGACTACTGCATGAAGCTCCACGTCCCGGGCCTCCCGAGCACAAGCGACCACAGCTGGTCCGTGGCCCTAGCACTGGCTCTAGCGCTACAGATAGTGCTATACCGTGAGAAGCTCCAGGACGTGATGCGCGACGGCTGCAAGCGGCTCTTGGTGTTCAGGACCATGCATCGGCGCTTTGCCAACCAGCGTCTCAAGCGCTTGAACAGTCTGGGAGACGGCCGCAAGTCGCAGTGGATGTGGACGAAAGGGGCACAAGACGGAAGTTCGGTAACGAGTGACAGCTCGGAAGCAAATGCGGACGACGGATCCAGCGGCACTGACGGCCTCATCACTTCACAGAAGAAGCTCGTGCTCGTGATGGTGGGCCTGCCTGCGCGGGGCAAGAGCTTTGTCGTGCACAAGACGCTGCGGTACATTGAGTGGATGGGGTTTCCCACGCGAATGTTCAATGTGGGCGACTTGCGGCGTCAATTGGGTAAAACGGGGGAGGGCGCCACCTTTTTCAGTCCGAGCAACTCGAACGCCAAGCGACTGCGTGAAGAGATGGCAATGGATGCACTGGATGGTCTCTTGGACTGGATCGAGACGCACGGACACGTTGCGGTCTTTGACGCGACCAACACGACCAAGTTACGCAGGTACGTAGTATGAGGGAAATGGGCGAGACTGAAAGAGGAATAGTGTAGACTTGATTGGATGACGCGGTGGTGCTGCATGCTGCAGGCAACATATTTTGGACAAGGTGAGCTCGCACCGGAACATTCGCGTCATGTTTGTCGAGAGCATTTGCGACAACGAGAAGCTGCTGGAGGCCAACTACCGTCGGTGTGTTGCAACTTGCGCTGGATGGTGGATACCTTCGGTTTTGCTGGTCTGGTAACGTTAACTTCGTTCTCGTGTTGACTTGTGCTTGTGCGTGTTTGTGCTTCAAGAAAGCTCTTGAATGCCGATTATAAGGATAAGGATCCAGAAGTGGCGCTTTCTGACTTTCGACAGCGCGTGCAGGAATACGAAAAGGTCTACGAGACCGTTGAAGACACAGAGGATGGCGGCAATGCGTGCTACGTCAAGGTGTATAACGCCGGCGAGAAAATCCAGGCACGGTACTGCCAAGGCTTTTTGCAAAGTCACATTGTGTCGCTCTTGCAAAATATCCATTTGAAGCCGCGTCGGATCTGGCTGGTTCGTCCAGGACCTAGTGTCACAAGCTGCAACGGTATCCTCGGGCTCGACTCGGAGTTGTCGGCGGAGGGGCACCGGGTAGCGCGTGCCATTACGCGCTTTGTCGAGAAGCTCGAGCTCGAACGCCCGATGGAAGTGTGGACGAGTCCCATGAAGCGCTCGCGAGAAACGGCAGCTTACTTACCCACCCACAACTTGAAGCGTTTCGTGACTACCACGCTGCTTACTGAGCTGGGAGGCGGTGACTTTGAGGGACTTAAATACGAGGAGATTGAGCGCTTTTACCCCAAGCACTACAACGCGCGGCTGCAGGATAAACTACGCTATCGTTACCCCGGTGTAGGTGGAGAGAGCTACGTGGACGTGATCTCGCGTCTGCGCTCGCTGATCGTAGAGTTTGAGCGCAAAAAGCGTGGCGTGCTGGTGATTTGCAGCGAGTCTATCCAGCGCTGCCTCATGGGCTATTTTTCCGGGTGCGAGGCGGCCAAGGTACCCTACCTGGAGTCGTACGAAGACACGGTCATTGAGTTGAAACCGCACCAGGACGGCTGCGACATTAAGCTCATTCCGCTCGAGTTCAAGGAGGATGCTGTAGAGAGTGTCACTACTGTCGGATGAATTACTAATTGCTTGCTGAGCATGAAGTATGGATTGGTACAAACAGCTTGATTGGGCATCGCTCAGGTGCACAATTACATTGCGCTAGTCAGCGTGCGTGTGAGTAGAATCATGCCGAACGGACAATCCATCGACGCACATGTCAAGTCAAGTCAACCGGACAGACATTATCAACATCGTCAATGGCAGTCGTTGGTTTACACTGAAACGCAGTGTGATGGAGGTGTAGCTTAGTGAATATACTGGTGGCCAGCACTTATCATCGGAGCTCTACAGTCGTATGCTAAAGGTCGCAACTTCAGCTTTGCACATCTCATCGTCTACGTATTCCAAAGACAAAGGTGTACATCGAGTCATGAAGTTCGATCTTGTCATTGTATGGTTCAGTACAACACACGACGGTCCCATGATCGTCAAAAGTGTTCGAGCCGGCAGAGCTAAAGCTATAGAAATAATGCGCCGAACAGACAGTGCATAGAGTATGCGCCCCCTGCTACAGTTGCAGCTATTGATTCTCGGTTGTATCTATATCAGCACGGAAAAGGAGAGAAAAGTTGCGTTCTGGCTCGGCCGTACCTGAGCACATCGGATCAGAAGTAGTTCGTGATTATTCGTGTGCAGCTGCCTTCTTACATGCCTCATTAAGATACTCGTTTACCTCGACATCTGCCTTTTCGCTGCAACACGTTTTGTTGACAGCCTTCGCGCACAAACACGTAATCAGCTGCAGCCGATTTAAATGGGGGGAGTGACAGCTCACGCAGGTGATGGAAAGCCCTCCACAGTGTTGGCAAAAAGAATATGGGAGGGATCAGCGCAAGTCTTGTAGTGCGTGAGCGTGATGAGATATCCGTGCGCTGTTCGAATGCACCAAGTGTCTGATGCAAAGGGCTGTTGTGGTAGAAAGCTTGGTATCACGGGCGATTTTCATGTGTGGGAGCGAAGTGGACACGATTGTTCCGAGAGGTGCACACTCGATGATCACCACCACTCTATTTGCTGCAGTAAGAACCATCCGGTTGTAGCAGTCGAAAAAAGCTACGTGCAAGTAGCGCCATCTCGATTCTGCACTCCATCGTGTCACCTTTGACGCTCTTGTCCTGTAATGCTCCCACTAAAGATGCGTTGAGCATCCGAGACAAAGGTGTGGGCTCGGTTCGTCCGAGTGTTCATGGAAACCAAAGACTTGTCGAGCAGCATCAACTTGAAGCGTACGCTGGGTGTGGTACATCCCGACTGTTCCGCGCACGAATTGATGGACATAGCAGTGTCAGTACCGATACAGAGCAAAACACAGTGCTCGAACAATGTGTAGTCTGAACTGTCATGGCACAAATCTCTGCGCCTCATACATAGGAAACAGCGATGGTCGCTAACAGTCTATGTGATGCATCGTTGGTTAACCCGATAGCTATTTTTTTCACATCGAAACAAATTTGTAAGAGGAAGCGCATGTAGCCTCTCTTGTAGTGAGCGGTTAGCGCTATATCTGCCACCTTCCTGAAGATGAAACAGCACCTCGACGTGGTAGTACAATTGTTTTGGTGGCTTAAATAGTGCGGGAAAAGAAAACAAGCCCTCAGATCCTAGCACGTTCCAAAGCAGAAGATTTGCCTTCCTTATCCCACAAGACTGAGATGTACATCATTACATGATGCGTCGTCTGCAAGGCTATGTATTAAAGAGATTGCCAAGAACGGGATCGTGGACCGCCTCGGTGGTCGCTGTGGGGAAGCAGAGGTCACAATGCCATTACTGCTAAATAGGACTGCAGACAGGGTAGACAAATGAAGGTTTTATGAGGTCGGCGCAGATACAGGATACAGGGCATTCTTCGGCCTAAAAGATACCGTGACAGTGCCAAAGACAACTAATCTTGTCATGGCAGAAACGCCTGCTGTGGTTTGACAAGTTAGAGTATCTCCTGTAAAAGTTGCAATCTCGAACGCAGAGTTTTACATCTAACTAACCGGCATCGTTGACAAAGTTGGACATCTTACCAGCGCTGGAGTAGCAATTAAGGCCTGTGCAATTACTTTCATGGTCGGTGATCGTATCGAGTGTGCCCTTTCTAGTTCCTCATGCTGCTTTTGTAAGATGTATACGTTGAATACAGGTGATAGAGAGGCACTTAATTCGTTCTTCTGGGCGGTGTCTATGCTCCAAGTACCGATGACTAGTAACGATTGACATACACCCGCTTTAATTTCTACTGATCGTAGTGAGTTCAAACGGCTCTATTGCACCTAGCTTGTAACGGGGCACCCTGAAGCTTGTACTGGTGACCAGTACAAGCTACTTATTCTGTTAACAGAATAAGGCGGTGCCTCGTAACTTCACGTACACTCGTACGTGCAGAGGAAGACGGTAAGAAGAGGCGAGTACTTGGTTAGAGTAAAAAGTAGAACTGTATTTATAATAGTTAATGTCTGCAATAAATCACTATTTATCTTCATCTAACTATGTCTAAATACAAATGTGTAAATTAACTATCTGCTCACCACTCATTGCGTGCGTCTGTCGTGGCGCGTCTTCGTTGGTTGATATAATGGCCTACATCAACCAATTAGGAACTACTCGTAAGTGCTACAGAACATTTGTCCTTATGACAATATTCTGAGAATATAACTCTTATAGTTATATTCTATTAACAAATTCTTATAAATTGTTATGTAACGATTCACCCCGTTACATCACCCCCCCTTAACCATCAGTCACTTTAGTGACTGATTGACTAAATGGATACTCGTCCCAAATCATTTGGGACAGGGTTTGCACTTGTTGGTCCGCGTCCACTTTCCAACATCTCATCGCATGGTAAACAAGCCCATGCGATGCGCGAGCAAGGCCGCCGAGAGCGCGTCTGCACGTCTCTGTACGGACGCCGAAGCAGAAACAACAGCAACTGATGTCCCATCGGTTGCTGAAGCGACTCAGCCTGTGTCACTTGGTGACGCAGGCGCTGGTCATGAAGACACTCGTGTCTTCACAGAGTACGAGCTCGGTGTCTCGTACTCTCCTGATACGGATGACGGATCCGTATCGACGGCGATTGAATCCAAGCCGCCAGCCAAGCGTGGCATGGACGATGCTTTGCGTCGCAGCATCTTTGGTTCATCTGATGAATCAGATGAACCATCGCCGAAGCGAAGGCGCTCGAGGTCGCGAGACTCGGGCGCTAACAGTTGTGTCGGTTCTCCTATGGACACCACTTCACAGCGAGGTGCCAGTACTTCTGTCGGCACGTCGCAGGAAGAGCGGGACCGCAATGTCTTGCGTCTCGCTCCAGAAAAGAAGGCATGGATGCCTCCCAAATCCGTCATGGATCACTTGTCGGCGACGACGAGTGATCGTTATCGAACACGATTGTTCGATTCGTCAAGGATCCATCACCTTGACCCCAGCGCGAAAAACTATCGCGCTGAACACGAATTCTTCATCGATGCTTTCTTCAGACATCGATGGTACAGTGGGAACCACAAGCGTGATGGTCCCTCACTACTTCAAGCGTGGAACGCCTACATCCATAACCTCGAGGATGTAGGTCGTGACGTTTGGAACGACAAACTTATCAAAGCTCGTGATAAGTTTGAAAAGCGAACCCCGACAGGTGCACGCTACAAGCTGCATCGTCTGTCAAGGGAGAAAGGATTACCCTGCCTCTCTTGGGGAGACTCGTGCCCATGTTGTGTGAACAACTCTGCGCGAGCACCTAAGGAGGCTTACCTCCTTACCAGCCCGTGGTGGCGCGTACGTGTCTCTACTGAGATGTACGAAGGGATTGACAACCTGAAATCCCTTTACGACCGTGCCGGGAAGACTTTCTCCGGCGGTCCTTCTGCGGCACAGGATGTGCCGCGTCGTACTGCTCAACCAGACCCAGTACGTCAACCATCAGTTGGGAGCGGGGCTCCCAAGAATCCCAGGACGGGGGATAGCCGCGCCACCGGACGAGATAACTCGTCCGACGTCCGTTCACGTCGCGGTGGTTCAACAGCTGCTCAACTAGATAGCGCTGGCCACCGCGAGAGTCCTCTAATGGAGGTGGAGGAGGAGGAAAGACGCTCTCCACACGATCATGTGGATCGGTGTGTTCCTGAGAGCTTCTTTGATCGCGTAACGCAAGGGTTACGCGACGATCTCGAGCATGAGCGGAATAGGCGTCTCCAAATGGTGGACACTGCCTCGAAGCATCGAGCTGAGTTTGCCTTTGCTCAGCTCGAGAACGAGAGATCTCTGACATCTCTTCGTGGCGAGCTAAGGGTAGCTCGTGGGATTGTTGATCGGTCTCGGGCTGAGATAACTGCTCTTCAGACCCTTGTTGATGCCCACCATCGGGAGCACAAGGCTCTTTGCGAGATGCTTGAGCGCAAGGGCGTTCTTCATCGGAAGAATCAGCGTACTGATGGTACGGCTTAAGCCGACCAACGTAAAACGTGGGATGCGTTCGCATCTTACGTGGTAACTCGATCGTGTATGCATTGCCTAGGCGGTGCAATACACGAAATGGGCCAATGTACTTGGGTAGTAGTTTACTGCTACCCAAGTTAGTCACTACATGCTTTGGTAGATTAACCGTAGACAGTAGGACTAAGTCACCTTTACTAAATAAAAGAGTGTTTGCCCTTCCATTCTTGTCAGCGTTTTGCTTTTGCTTATCCACCGCTTCGGCGATGGAGTCTTGCACAAAACGGACTACCGTTTCACGAGCCAGTATGAACTCATCTGATGACTCGTTAGCTTCAGTGTGCTGTGAGCGCACTGCAGCAACAACAACCTTTTCTTTAGTGAGGGCTTCCGCACTCTCACTGGGATCATTGTCTTCAGTGAGGGCTTCCGCACTCTCACTGGGATCATTGTCTTCAGTGAGGGCTTCCGCACTCTCACTGGCATCATCTTCTTCGATATCGATGTTATCGATATCGGCATCAAACGCAATGACTTCCTCGTCAGAGCGTGATGAGCGTGAACCAAATCGGTTTTTGCTCGCGCGAGTCCCT